ATCACATTCTAGCAGGAAATCGGCTACCGCTTGCCCTTTGACAGCTGTTCTCGGCTCATACGTTATGTCAAATGAACTCAACTCTATGGCCCACTTTGTCATTCTGCCCGAGAGCTCTGGCTTGTGCATAAGCGTTCTGATTGGAAAAGTTGTTAGAACAGCTATAGGGTGGGATTCGAAATAATGCCTCAACTTTCTTTTTGCATTTACAAGTGCAAGTATCACCCGTTCGGCCTTTGAGTATCTTTGTTCTGCCTTTGTCATTGTTTTGCTTACATAAAATACCGGGTATTGCACCTCTTCCTTGCAACGAATCAGAACGGCACTTGTCGCGACACCAGATACTCCAAGATATAGAAATAACTTTTCTTCTGGATCCGGGGCTGACAGGACTAGTGGATTCTGCATATATTCCTTCAAATGAGTTAATGTTTGTCGTTGCTCATCCCCCCAGACCTGCCTTCCATGGCTCCGAATCGTGTCAAAGAACGGCTTGCAGTGATCTGACAATTTTGAAATTAATCGACTTAATGCAGCTATTCGTCCTGTGAGGGCTTGCACCTCTCTGATCGTCTTTGGCTCGGCATTCTTAATCAAAGCCTCTGCTTGAGCGGGGCTAACTTCGATGCCTCTGCGGTTGACCACGTGTCCCAAAAACTGACCGGAACTCACACCGAACGAGCACTTGGTTGGATTGAGCCTCATCCCATATCGCTTCAGTACATCAAATACATCTTGCAGATGCTTCAAATGATCATCCTTCTTCCTACTCTTTACCACCATATCATCAATATAGGCTTCCACAATCTTTCCCATTTGATTCTTAAAAATTTTGCTAACAAGTCTTTGATAAGTTGCTCCCGCATTCTTTAGTCCGAAAGGCATAACTTTGTAGCAGTATGTTCCTCGCTCGGTTACAAAAGAAGTTTTTTCTTCATCTGCGGGGTCTATAGGGATCTGATTATAACCTGAATAAGCGTCCAGAAAGGTTAAACGCTCATACCCGGTGGTGGCATCCACCATTTGATCAATCTTAGGCAGCGGGAAGCTGTCCTTCGGACAGGCTTTGTTCAAATTGGTGAAATCAATGCATACTCGCCATCTCCCATTCTTCTTCTGCACGACAACGACGTTGGACAACCAATCAGGGTAGTGTACTTCTCTGATAAATCCCGCATCAAGCAGCCTATCGACTTCTTCCGCTATGATTTGATTGCGTTCTGGAGCAAATCTTCGCTGCTTCTGTTTCACTGGTTTGAAATTGGGATTGACATTCAGGGAATGGCAGGATACGGAGGGATTAATTCCAGGCATGTCTAGGTGACTCCATGCAAATACGTCGGCATTGTTGGACAAGAAATCCGCTAGCTCTTGCTGCTCTTCTCGGGTCAGTCTTATACCTACTCTGGTAGTTCGTTCTGGCCTGGACTGATCGATCTGCACATCCAGAAGGGGCTCTTCGGTCAAGTCAACTAACTCCTCCACCCTGTTCTGCTCGGGCGGAGGTTCCTGTAATTGCTATCTGGGGCTTGCCGATCGGACGGACGCCTTCCCTTTCCCAGCATACTTTAGTGTGACGGAATAACACTCTTTGGCTGCAACCTGATCCCCCCGAATGTCTATCACTTTATCTCCATCGGGTCCGAGGCACCTCATGACCTGATGCAGAGTTGAGGGCACACCTTGGACTCTGTGAATCCATCATCTTCCCATCAGGAGATTAAACGAGGGGTGAATTTCTACAACCACAAAAGTTTCCATAAGAGCTCGTTCTGCAGCTTGAACTTCTACTTCCACCATCCCGACGGGCTCCACCCTCTTGCCATCGAACCCTAACAGGGGATTTCCAGTGGGCTTGAGCCTCTCTGGTTTAATCTCGAGCCGATCAAATGTGTCCCTCGGCATGACATTCGCACTGCTCCCGGGATCGATCAGAACTCTGCGCACCAAGCAGTCCGCCACTGTTAAACTGACTACCAACGGGTCTTCATGGGGGACTTGAACACGCTGCAGGTCTGTCCTGTCGAACTTTATCTGCATCGACGTGATCTGCTGGTGTAGAGTATTCACACTGCTGACCCTTTTCTTCATCTGCGCCTGCCGTAGGCGCGCTCGGAGTAGCTCATCTGACTCTTCGCTAGGCTCGGGTCGACCGTGGATAGCATTGATTATACGAACTGGTTGTGAATTGTGGGAGCTTTGTTTGTGACTCCTTTTTATTTGTTCCGCCGGTCGATTCTGCTCTATCGCCGAGCCTTGAACATAACTCGCGAACTCCCCTCTAGCTATCAACATCTCCACTTGCCTTCTCAAATTCCTGCACTCGTTAGTCTGATGACCGAAATCGGAATGGAAAGCACAATGTTTAGTCTGATCCCTCTGTTCGAGGGGTTGCCTAATTGGCAGTGGTGGATGAAACTTATCTTTGTTCTCCTGATATAGCCTCGCCAGAGTGACCTTCAGCGGAGTAATCAGCTCTTCCTCCCTGGACCTCTTTTCTGCCTTCCAGGAGGTCTGACGCTGCGGCTGAGTTTGCTTCTGCCTGATCTTTGCCTTGGACTTCTCCTCGGTCGACACGAGCGACGCTGTCCGAGCATTGGCTGCCTCCTCTTCTTCTAGGCGCACAAAGCCGTCGGCTCTTTCATTAAGTTCATCCATAGTTGTCGGCGTGTTCACTACCAGACTGGTATGGAACAGAGTGCCACGTGTCATAGTCAACTTGAAGGCTTGAACCGCTGTAGAAGGGTGGCATTCGATCACCATACTCTTAGTGAGATTAAACCTGGTGAGAAAAGCCTGGAGACGTTCATCTTTGTGCTGTCTCATTGTGAATAGGCTTGAGATGTCCTTTGGCGGGCGCTTGTTCCCATAGTATTGACTTATGAACCGATCGCACAGATCTCGGAAGCTACCAATGGAGCTCTTAGGCAAGTTCTTGAACCAGCTGAGCGCCGGTCCAGCTAGGCTTGTAGGGAAACATTTGCACATTAAAGCATCGTTTTCCGTATTCAGGGCCATCTTCAACTGGATATGGTACACATGATCGATCGGATCGGTTGTTCCGTCAAACTGAATAAACACTGGCATAGCGAACTTCCTTGGATGAGGGGCATTCAGGATCTCGTCAGTGAATGGTGAATCAACCGTTCGAGCTGCGGATCGGAGCGCTTCATTCTCTCTTTGGCGCCCAGTGGTAGCTCTGTGGGCTACGGTTCTGCTCTCCGAACCGCGATGAGTGATTGTAGCCATGGAAGGCCGGTAGGACGGATCGAACGACCGTTCCTCTATGAGCTCTCTTTGCCAAGGCGACGTAACTCGGCGGCGATCAACCTCTGTCACCTCCTCTTGGTTGAACCTTTCCTGATGTGGATCTAAGGTCATGGCTTCATTCTGTCTGATCTGCTCATGTCGCGGATCAACGTGAGTCGATCCTTCGTGATCCTCAACTCGACGAACATTTGGCGGCAAATTGTCCATCATCCTTTCATCACGGTGATGAGCTGACTGATTGTTCTCGTCCTGCTCGCCCTGATGCGCGATATTAGATTGAACACCTCCTTCACCGACCGGAAGTGGATGCGAAACCGCAGGTATTTGCTGATGTTGCATTCCAACTTTCAATTCTGCATTCTCTTTTTTGAGAGCTTCGATCAAGTTCATCAACTCCTCAAGCTTCGTTTGCTGGATAGCCTCCATCGGATTGGAGCTTTCACCTATCATTATTCCTGAACGGAGTAAAGGCATTAATCTCAGGTTCGCGAGTAGATCTGAGCTTCGTGAGTGCGAATTTTTCAGATCTGGTTTCGAATTCTTCGAATTATGCTTACGGTTGACGAGATCTGAATTGTCCGAATTCTAAATCTGTCAGATCCTGCTACAATCGAGTAACTCGTTGTTGCGTTGTTCCGAAGCCACTTCCGCCAAAGCAGCAGGAACTAAGATTCTTCCAGAGTAGGTCACAATCGCTCAGATCTGGATTCAACTCCCAAAGGTTGAGTTTCGTTTTCACGAATTGGTCTGAATCCACACGATATTGATCAGTTGATCAATCAATCTTTAACGCTTCCCACAGACGGCGCCAATTGAAGATACAAGAAATTCATACTCTCTTTCTCTCTCTAGAATTCTTACATTTCAACAAAAAGATCTCCCTATTCTTTCCATTCCTTCTCCTATTTATAGATATTTACAAATATTGACGGATTGCTGGATCTGGGCCTGTTCCTCCATAAGTCCTGGTCACCTTTGATGGGCTTATTCGCGTTCGGCCCATATGGCAGTGTCTTTTTATGGGCCGACCCAGTTATACGGACCGGATGTCGTGCTTGCAAGTCAGATCCGGCCCATGCCATCCTGGGCCTCCTCACTATGGGTTAATTGCATCTTTGTTACTGGCAACGTAAAGAAAGAAGGAAAGATTTTTTGAGGAAGATTTTGATAATAGTTTTTAGCGTATATGTAATTATTTTACTTAATTTGATCAACTTAAAAAATTAACTTTAAAAATAAACTGATTTATTATTTAAAATTCCTAAATTTCTAATTTTTCTATAAAAAAATAAAATAATTTATTTGTCAAATTAATGGCCTAGGGGTTACTTTTACAAATTGAAGAAAGTTGAAGGTTTTATGCATTTTGTCCAATTAATTTATGCATTTGTTGTATAACAATTTCAAGGTTTAAGTTGCCAATTTTTTTTTGAACAAAACACAAAACACTTGTAACTTCAAAATTTGCTCACTATAACATTACATATATTTATTATTAATCAGCAGTCCTTTAATTGTCAAAAAGAAAATTAAATCATTTCATTATAGAACAATTAACAGATTCATTCTAACGAATTTTTGTGCACCCCATTATTACTAACCATTTGTTATTGAAAAAAAAAACCTGTGAGATTAGCCTTCCACGGAACTAAATTAAAATGTTAATACAGACCCTTTCATAGGGATTTTTAGTGTTTCAAAGAGCAACATCAGAAATTAAATTGAGTGGTAACTAATAGTTATATCCACCCCTGGGTGATGAACAAATACAAACAATTTCGATTTCGGATTCAGACCCATTCATTGGGGTTTAGGGTTTTAGAAACTACTGTCAGTTTGCATTCTCCACCGTAATTAGTAGTCCACTCATCTCTCTCTAGACTACTTCCACATTCTCTCTGTAACCAAAAAGAAGTAAACTTTACATCCTCAAGCGGAGCTTTACCAAGACAAAGAAGCAAAAGCCTTCAGCCACAGACACAGCCACCGCCACCATCGCCGCCCCGAGTATTGACCAACAGGCAGGTCAATGGCTAATCGATTGGATTGGCCGTGTCATGCCTGTGGCAACGTGGGATTCGAAGATGGCTCCGACGGCTTCTTCTACTGCACCCGTTGCGGCTCCCAAGCCGAAGGCATCATCGACACCGACGTCGCCGACGAAGACATGCTGGACCGAGGGGACGGCCATGGCGCACTCTACTCGGCCAATCACCGCCGCCAGATTAAAACCCCCCAGCCGATCTCTCTGTCCGAAGTGCAGTCCCAGACACAGTCCCAATTTTGGGACTCACTCAATGCCCTAGACGACGACATCGCGAAGACACAGGAGAGTAATGAGCCAACTGGACCGACTGATTTCGGGTTGGGTCCGAGGACTCTGAGCTACGAGGACTACTATTCGGAGGTCAGGATGAGGTATGTGATGGGTATTCAGATAATGATTCAGTTGCAATGTAAGGCTCTGGTTGAGAAATTCAAGGTGAATTCGATGATTTGTGGGCTGGCAGGCACAATTTGGTTGCGATTGGTTGCGTTGACTAGGGTTTTTGATGATAACTGGGCGGACGAGAAGTTCCATGATTCTGAATCACAGAAAGAAGGTATTACCATCAATTCCTATGTCTGATTTACACTGTGTGACTCTAAATATATTCATGTATGTATGTTTTTTTTTATTGTTGTACGATGATTAAGGGATTAATGGCTTGTGGGGAGGACTATATAATTTAAAGAGTTAAAAGCTTTGATTGTTTTCTGATGTTTTTGTGTACTCGAGGTAATAAGTGGTGAACTTATGGTTATGCACATCGACATTTTCACATGGATAACTGTGTTTTATTCTTTGCATATATCTTTTAATGTTGTATGATGATTAAGGATTATGGGGAGGACTACATATTTGCGAAAAATTAGAGCAGATAGTGCACCGTCAATGCCTGGAATTTGATTGTTGTATGACGATGACGGGTTTATTAAAAGGACTATGTATTTATGGGTAATGTACTTTCAATGTTTCAGAACGGAAAATGTTGTAATATTGTCTTTTTCTTTGCATGTTTTCTTTTGTTGTTCATCATCTATTGACAGACTGGCACACGCGTGCAATCAACTGGCTTCACCCTATCTATACATGCCACATGTGTGTATATTTAAGTGATTTTATTACGTCTAGTTTCATGGCTTTAGTTATCTTTTACTTCTCATGTTTGGTTTCAGAACAGCCAGGTGATTCTAAGCCTCAAGCTAAATATCGTGCGGAACCCCACAACCTATATGGACAGCGAGCAGTAATGATATGGCATAAATCATTGAGCAAGACAATACCCTTATCTTGTTCTTTAGTGATTTCATATCTGGCATGTCACATTGCGAGGGAGGCAGTCCTGCCAACAGATATATTGAAGTGGTCTCTTGAAGGGAAGCTTCCTTATTTTGCTGCTTTTGTTGAAATTGAGAAACAAATTGGACCTCCTTCACGTGCATGTCCATTAAGTTCAAGTCTAATGTTCAGACCAACACATCCTGTTCCATCACAGAAGTTGGAATCACTGGCTGCATCTATTGCTCAGAAAATTGGCTTAGAATTGCCTCCAGTGAACTTCTATCCTATAGCTTCTCGCTACCTCAGGCAGTTGTCCATTCCTATTGGAAAAATTATTCCACATGCTTGCCGCATATACGAGTGGTCAATGCCTTCAGAGTTATGGTTGTCAGCTAATGAGTTTAGGCTTCCTTCTCGTGTCTATGTAATGTCAATATTGATCGTGGCAATAAGGATCCTGTATAATATAAATGGTTTTGGTAAATGGGAAATGAGTTTGTCTAGTTCCACTAATCATTCTTCACCGGCTCACGAGAAAGAAAAGTTGGAAACCATGTGTGATTCCGATGCAACGGATGATGCTAAGCAGGACTCTTCTGATGATTTAGAAGATTCAGGTCCAGATGCTTCAATAAACGAATTACATGTTGAGAATTCCGAGCTGGATGCTGCGGAGCTTCTGCTCAATCTTGAAGCAAGATATGATGAGCTGGGTGACGCATACGGTAAGTATTTTGTATATATTATTTATATTTATGTACGTTATGCCAAGCCTTGCTAAAACATTTATTACTTTCTCCTAATAGCTGGCCATGGTTTTGTGATTTTTCTTTTGTTTTATATTTTAAAAATATAGTGCTTTCTACTTATTTTTCCCCATGGACAGACTTTTCCAAGGACTTGCCATCATATCTTCAATACTGTAAGGATGTGGTCTTTGCCGGTTTAGAACCATCATTTGAGGATCATGAGGAGGCGAAATTAATTGATGAATTTTGGGATTTTTATCAGAATCAAAAGGTGATTATGTTTCTCAATTGTATGTGTTAATTATTTATTTGTTTTTGTATTTGCAGCCTAAGAATGGGATATGGTGCTTGTATATATTGATATAATTCATTACTTCTCTTGGGAAAAAAAAATTTAGCTGGTTGTTTAACTTGAAATTTCTCAAAGTTTTACTTTCAAACATTTACTGTTCATGTTGTCAGGGCACTAGAAGAGGTTTGATGTTTATTTGATCATTTCTTGGCGCTGTTAGCACAAACATAATTTGAGCACTTTCAAGAAATTTTTTTTTTTCACTTGTTGGATGCACATTTATCTCTTTGGTGCTTTTTGAGGGTTGATTGTTGTTCTGTTGATCTCTTTAATATATTTTGAGGCCGGTGGGAGTGTGGTCTCTTTTATTTTTATTTTATTACTACACCTCAGTTTGCATAATCTGTAGGGCAATTTTGGGGGGGGTTTTGGCTGTAAAGGATATTGTTTGCTCCTCTATTTTTTTAGGCTGAGGTTTACAAAGTCACCAGAATAATATGAATTTGTTGATTTCAGGATTTTGAATCATCAGATGAACAGAGAATGGGCAGTAGTGGTTTGCAGAACAAGAGATCAAGAATTGACATTAGGAGCACGGGAAAAGAGAACAAGAAAATGAGGGAAGAAGGGTCTGCGAGCATTTCATCCACAGATGGTGTAAGCTATTATGATGATGAATGCCTGCAACAGACCATGAATCATGACAATAGCTCTATGGGAGATGAGGATTCTGTGCCTGGTGGCCAAGCTTTCTCAGAGTCCCAAAAATCTAGAGCCATTAGAAAATTGAAGTCAAACATGGAGGAGAATAGGTTTTGTTACATTCCACCAAGAGTCAATGTCAAGAGATATGATTACCTTCACTATGTTAGGAAGAGGGATAAAGGTGCCTTCACCTATGCTGCCCATGCCGATTATTACATTTTGCTTCGTTCTTGTGCAAAGGTAGTCCAAGTTGACATCAGGAGTATGCACACTGGAGTTTTGAGTTTCGAAAGGAGACTGGCTTGGCTGGAAAAGAGAATTGACCACTGCTTGCATTTGAATCCTCCAAATAGATCTTGTGAGTTTTGTAGTGATGAGATGCAACAAAATGCTGCAGATGATTCCATTGGTTTCTCAGAGTTGAATTTGTGACACAATCTAAGCTTTAATTTAGAAAGAGTTTCTTTTGTTGAATTACAAATGTATAATTTGGAAATGAGAGTTCATTATGCTTTTTTGGTGTCCGTATTATCCTATCCCATTTTGACCACTTCGATATATAGTAAGCTGATAACTTGAGCGTCTTTGTTTCATGTTTAATATATTTTCTTGAAGTGACAAATCATACAATGCAAAGAGCAGCGGCCAGGCCAAACACGGTCTTGCACTTGCAGCGTTGATGACTGATTTTAGTCAGATTCTAGCATGAATTGTGTCACGTCATCTGTTTACTAAAATTGATACTGAATTAGTACATTGAAGATAAATATAGTGAAGTGTGTACCAGTACGTTATTAAGCAAACAAGCTGAGCTCAAACTTATTTTCTAAGCTTGTTTGATAAGTGAGTGGAGCCGGAACAATTCATGGCTCGGCTGGTTAGGCTCATGAACATGTTCGCGAACATGTGTTCATGAACAAGGTTGGTAAAAGGCTGGTAAACGGTACTCGTTCACTAGGGACTGTTTGGATTTTTAGTTATTTTTTCCCCTTAACAATCTTGATCTCAAGCTCATAAGTGTATAGAGCCAAAAGTATAATATTTGTCAGCGCATGCTAATTACAAGGTCGGTGGGCTTTTAGCTTCTGATTTGGGTGTGTAGAGTTTTATGAGTAGTGATTGTCTATGAGGAATTTTTTCTTTTTCTTTTTAGGCATGTAGGGGTGTTAGGATCATGGGTTTTGTTTATAGTTTTGTTTTTTTTTTTATTTTTTATCTTTGATTGGCGGTACACATTAAGTTTAGTATGGGTTTTGATCCTTCATGAGAAATGGGTTTGTCTGTTTTTTTTTTGCTCTTTTATATTTATTAAAATTTGTTTTAGTAGCTTGTGTTAAAACTTATAGGGTATATCTCAGGGGTTTTATGAGTATCAGTTCTATATGAGGATTGGGTTTGCTGAAGATTTTGTTTTGTTAACTTATTATGGTACATATTAGGATTTTATGAATATTTATCGCACAAGACAATTGAGTTCATATTTTAATCTATATTGGCTTTTTATTAGGTTCAGCTTTGGGGTATATGTGTGTGTTTATTGAGTATTGATCTTTTGTGAGAATAACGTTGATTTTCTTAGCTTCTGTTTCAGGGTACTTGTTAGTGTATATCAGTTATTTATCATAGTAGAAACAAGTTATTTTTATCGGCGCAATCTACTCCTATTTGGTTACAAAATTTGCCCATTACTCTGAACTGCAAATTATGGACGCTTTGCTCAAGACTTGATCATGTTTTTGGCAACAAAATGGATGGATATTTTTGGGATTTGTTCTGCGGCAGTCATTTATTGGAGATCTCATCTTAGTTCTTTGTCCCGTTCACAATAAACTTATTGATGCTCATAGAATGTGTGAAAGTTGCCTCTTCTCGTTTGCCAAAACAAATGAGTTTTATTCCTAATCATATAACCATTGGTAGGTAAAATTGACTTTGATCCTCATCTTGGGTTTGATCAGGACCCGTTACTTCACTATAATGATCTTGGTTCTTCAGGGATAAGAAATTGTTCTTGTTGCAGTGAGCAATGGATTTCAGGAGGTTATGCCCAAAAAGTGCTTCAGGCTAAATCAGTTGGGTTGGAGGCTACTGAACTTGGTGTACCTCTATCAACCACTCTTGCGCATAATTGTGATGACCTGAAGAAGATAAAGGAGGAACCATCTGGTTCACTTAGAACTTCTGATATGAAAAAGGATGGTATTGATCCATTTTCTCATATAGAATACATGCAGGTCAACATTACTTCTGATTCTGAATCAGAAATACCACTTTTTCGTGACGTGGAGTTGATGATGCTACTGCTCTAATTCCTGAAATTGATGATCGCAATGAAGTTTTTGTGGTTCAATATGCACATCTGAACCTCTCATTATTGATACCTCTAGTTTCCATTCCAGAGCCCTCACATTTTGAGTCACAGGTGCAGATGGACGCAAGTGTGCCGGTTAGGAAAAGTGACATAGTCCACACTGAGGGTAATGCGAGGGGAAGAGGAAGACCAAAGCTAACGTGGGTAGAGTTAGTAAAGAAAGATATGTTAACATGTGGATTGACTGAGACTATCGTCTTAAATGGAACAGAATGAAAACATAGGATTCATTGAGCCGACCCCAAGTAATTGGGAAAAGGCTTGATGGTGGTGGTGGTTGTTGTGTAGGTGCAGATGGACATTGTTGACCCCCACCATCCGCTGCCACTATCAGGCATGGGTTGGAGGAACTAAACGGGCAACAAGTTGAGTACAAGGCTGATCCTTCTGCTGCATCTGAGAGCGGTTTTTTGATGAGGTCCCTTCAACATCCAAAATCATGGAAACTCCTGTTGAAGTATCAAGAGGCACCTGTAAGTTCGAAGTTTCTGGGATATTGCTTTTACATTTTATTCATCTTTCTTTTCAAAATGAGCCTATGGACTCCAAATCACCAAATAAAATCAAGGCCACAAAATCTTTTTCATCACCTTTCTTTTTGGGATAAGTTCATGTGGCTTGTCCATAGCATTGACAGTGAATATAAAATTCCCCTATTCCCCCATCTTTCAATGCTTACTAAAAGATGCGGTCATTTTTTAGTATCCTAAAATTCGTTTCATCTTAAATGTTTAAGTATGTTTTGGGATTCTGGTATTAAATCCAGTTGACATGATAATCATGTGCTAAAATATTATGAGAATCATTTTTTCCCCCAATGTTCATATGCTATCTTAACATAATATAAAAGAAAATAATGTGAAGTCTGAATTTGTCGTTATTTGTTGCAGTTATAATTGACTTTGTTCTGTTCTCTTGTATTTATTGGTTTCTTGCAGTTGATGCTCAAGCAACAGGTGAGTTTGGGCAAAACGTTTTTACTGAGAGTGGATAAATCTTTAAGGCGGGAAGGGGCCAATTATGGCAAGTAAAACATGCATATAATTGAACTGTGTTCTTAGCGGTGCTGGTTCACAGATGCCTAATTACTTGGGTCTCGGGGTGCTTATAAGCTAGCTGTTGGCAATAGGGGAGGACATTTATCTGGAGTGCTTTCAGAGCAAGGGTCTATGAAGAATCCGATAAGAGTACTGAAGATTTGAAGCTCTTGTTGTCACAAATATCTGTTGCTCGAGGAATTGAATTATTATTGAATGATACAGTGTCTGGAAATAATGACGAGTTAAAAATCTCTGATGCTTCTAGCTCTGTCAGAATGCAGATACTTCAAAAAAAGGATTAAACTTGGAAGAAATGAGTGGTTTGTCTCTAGATGGAAGCTTTGTCGGTGAAATCGAAGGTGAAAGTGTGGTTGAGCGGTTAAACCACCAGATTGAGCACAATAGAAAGGTAATAAGTGCTTTGAATAAGGAATTAGAGGAAGAAAGAAGTGCTTCTGCAGTCGCTGTAAATCAAGCAATGGCCATGATTACTAGATTACAGGAGGAGAAAGTGACACTCCATATGGAAACTTTGCAATGCCTAAGGCTAATGGAAGAGTAAACTGAATATGATGGGGAAGCACTGCAGAAATCAATGACGTTCTTGAAGAGAAGGAGAAAGAAATAAGAGATTTAGAAGCTGAACTTGATTTGTATAGGAAGAAATTTGGAGAATCAGTGTTGGAAAACATATTGGAACCACTTGTGATTGGAAGGCAGAAGATGTGAGAGAGAAATGTTCTGATGCAATTCGCATTAATAATAGTGCGAGTGTTCCTGGCAATTCAGATACCAAGAAATAATGTATCTGCAATAGAATTGAAGGAACGGTAATGTCATTTGGGGATAAGAGTGCAGATACTGCAAATAATTCAGTGTTAGAGTTTGAAGAAACTGAAGAAAAGGTTTCATCTATTTTCTCATAATGGAATTGTCCAGAACGTGACTAATGGTGAATATTTTGGAAAAGAAGAAGATGGGTTGTGTCATTTATTGGAAAGAGCTTAACTCTAAAGGGGGTTCTGCAGTAAAACATTGAAGTGAAAAGAATGATTTGTCAATGCAAAAAGATGCTACTGTACTTGAAGAAAACCCTTGTGCTCAAGAAGGATTTATTTCACCATTTGAGAACCCCCACTTTGGTAGCAATAATATTGAATCTGATTGTGGTGGGGAAGACTCGTCCTTGGTCCATAAAGCGTCTGATCTTGATTCTCTTGTAAATGAAGTTTCTAATCAAAGTGGCAGGTTGGAAGCACTTGAGACAGATCATAATTTTGTTGAGCATTCCTTTAACGCACTAAAAAATGGAGACGAGGGTCTTAAATTCATTTAAGAGATAGCTTGACACCTGGGAGAACTACTAAGGATTGGGATTAACGGAAAAAAATTAACCTCTTGCTTGGGATTTATGTCAATACCATGATAAAGGTGAACATTCTGACCCGCATTCTACTCATTTCAACATATATGCATAGTTCCTATTGAGATGTTTGATTTATATCTGATACGCTTGAATAGAAATTCTTTGAAATTGATCTGTATTTGTACTTTCATGTAAGTGGCCTTCAAGAAGTGATAGGTCAGTTTAGAGAATCAGCTAACATGTGCGTGCACATCATTGGGCCACTTGCTATTTTGAAGTTAAATAGCATGCCTTATTTTCTTGTATCGATATGTGAGTTTGCTTTGCATGCATATGGCAAGATTGATGCGACTTCCAAATTCAAACGAGTTGCGTTCTTTTCTTGTAAATTCTTGCAATGCCAATCATCCATCTCAACATCTTCATTTCAGCTTCGCTCATAGTCTCAATTTCAAAACATGTTTCTCAATTGTCAAACATTATCTATATGGAGATATCTTGAAAATTTTATTTAGAACACAAATGCAGTAATGCAAAAAAATTTTGGACGGTCAAGCATGACCTAACTATATAGTGCTGTCGAATGGTGGGAAAAAGTTGTTAAATGAATTAGAAAAGGCTGTCATACAAAAGGAAGTTGATAAATTGTCGATTTCTACTATTTTCCTACATTTTTTCATAAACCAAATGTGGGCGTCAATTAAACATTGAATTTGATTTGTGAAATGATCTGTGTTTTGTAACAGGAGAGACCCTTTTACAGTGAAGATGGTGAGGATTTCAATTTCAGTAATTTGGGTTATGTTGTTATGGTGTTATTGGACTGCAATGGCAGAGGAGGCAGAGTACATGATGTACAAAGACCCAAATCAGCCCGTGGAGGTTCGAATCGAGGACTTTATGAGTCAAATGACTTTGGAAGAGAAGATTGGTCAAATGGTGCAGATTGACAGGACTGTTGCTACTGTTGAGATAGTGAGGGACTACTCTATTGGTAATAAATCTATAAATGCATGAATTTATAAAAAAAAATTTACTGCATTCTTCATTTTAAACAAGGAAGCGCAAAAATTCCTTTTCTTTTCTCTGTTCACACACGCTTTTGATGCATTCATACGTCCCAAATGCATTGGGGAATTCAATGGGGAAACTTACTTTCTTTAATATGCCCCTTAATAATACTAGTGTCTAAAAAGCTATAAGCTTTATTCATTTATTAAACTTTCTATCATCTTCTTGTTTTTATATGCAAGAGTAAGTCCATTTATTTATGAAATGAACTTGTTCCTAAAATTCATTGAAGTTACAGTTCATAATGATTGAATTTACCTTTTGAATTTAATAGAATAAGAAAGAAAAAGAGCAATGAATCAATGGAGAACATTATGGAATGGAGATACACTTGGTGTTAGTGCAGGGAGCGTATTGAGTGAAGGTGGTAGTAGTGTTGCAGATTGTGAGGTTGGGTTAATATGGTGAATGACTTTCAGAAAGGGTCATTATCTAGCCGCTTGGGAATCCCAATGTTGTATGGAATTGATGCTGCTTACGGGCACAACAATGTCTATAAAGGCTAAAGCTACAATATTCCCACAAAATATTGGGCTCGGACCTACAAGGTAAGTAAAAATGTCTTGAGTTCTTTGGGGGAACATTGTTCTAATCATCGTAGCCATTCTCTTTTTTCTTTTTTTCTTTTTTTTTTTTTTTTTTTTTTTTTTTTTAAAGGAAAAAAAAAAATTGTCATTCATGGAATCCTAAATTTTTAACATATAAAAATATAATATATTATTGCTATTACTTTCGTTTTTTTCTTTTTTTCTTTTTTTTTTTTAACTTTTTTTCCCCTGATATATCATCTAAAATCAAGTTATAAGATTTACAAACACTTTTATGAAGATGATGTATCAATGTCAGATAAATTTTGGACACCAATAACATCTTATAAATGTGTCCATGATTTTGAAAGTAAATTTTATTATTATGGACACCTGGGGAGACATCTTAGACACTTTAATATGACTTATGTTGCACAAACATATTCTACTAGGAACCGTGTTCAATTATCTTTGAAACAAGATGATCAAACCCTGGAATATACAATCTCTCTTTTTTAAGAAAATTTCACATTGTACATATGACCATCACAAGTTAAACATGCAATGGAACTTATTATTATTATTTTCATAAATAATGGAACTTGTTATTATAAGACAAGAATTTAATTATAATGGTAAAAATATAATTAGAGAATAGCAGTGGTATATTTAATGTATAAGGTTTATGGACATTAAAGAGTATATAAATTCGAAAATTAATCAAAGTTATATAATTGCGATATCCACACCTTATCATATTCTATTCTTTTTAGTATTGAGTCGGTGTCATATTGTGTCCATGCCCCATGTCCGTGTTTATGCTACTTAAACCAAGGTTTCATTCTTGCATCTCCTCCTACTTATTTTTGAGTTTCCAATAGAAAACTTGATATTGTTTGCCAAAAGATGTCATCTATTCATTCTTAAGTCTTAATGCATTTGGTGAGCAACCCTGTCAGTTCAATTAAAGCCTTTTAAAATTGCAATATATTAATTATCCATTACATTTCTGCTGTTACCATTGCATATTTTTTATTCTTAAGCTTCTCTTGGACGATGAAATGTATCTTTTTTTTTTTTATAATTGGGTTGCATACTTTGACCGAATTATAAACCTTTCATGACAAGGAACTTTCTGCTCACCTAAACACTATCTATTGGTGCTTTATTTTATGGCACAAGTATATGCTGTATGATCGGTCTGTTACAAAATTGTAATACAACTAAATATAGATATTCTACTAAGTTTCACTTTTGAGGAGGATTGGAGAAGTCAGAGTTACAGGGATTCCCTACATATTTTCTTAACAAATTCATAATTAATAAGTGGCTAATCTGATATCATATTGGTTATGTGATCAAATGTTTTACATTAAATCTCCTCCGTGCCATCATTATTAGACCAAACTTTGATTATGAATTTAGGTACAATTACCCAATAGCTAAAAAATCCTCAATTACCTGAACCTCATTTCTTAACGTTCTCTTTTTCTCCCGATGAGCTCATATATTTAGATATATTTATTTATTTATTTATTAATTTTCGGCAGGAACAAGGTTGCAGCTTGAGCAAAGCACTTTGTGGGCGATGGTGGGACAACAAAGGGCATCAATGAGAACCACACATTGACTGAAATGCATGGAATGTTTAGCATCCACATGCCCACATACAACGACTCCATCAATAAAGGTATTATAACAATCATTGTTTCCTACTCTATCTGGAACGGTGAAAATGTGCATGCCAATCGCGATCTATTTACCGGATTCCTCAGGGATACACTTGAAGTTTTAGGTAAAGTTCACTTGGTAACATCCACACTACGAGTCTGTAATTATCTCTCAGATATTTAATTTAGGAGCTTGTTACATGGAACAATACAGCTGAACCATGTCCTTTTTGTTGAACTGGTCTATGTCCATCTGTATTTGCCTCTTTGCTAATGTCAAAAATATTCTCACGTGTTGGGGATTTATGTTTCAAAATCTATTCACATTGTCTGGTCATATACCTCTGGTCTGAACTTCTACTTATCTCCTAGCTAATTTCTGAGTTCAATGTGTTTTTCTTTCTGGTCTAAGTGCTGCATATTCCTGTGCTAATTAGTCTATGCATAAAGGCTTGTTTGGCTTTGTCACTCAGCTAGTATTAATCTCATGTAATCTGGAGGAGCACCTGTATCAAATGCAGGTCAGTCATGTACTTCTCACGTGCCTCACAGCTGGTACATTGCTAAAAGTGCTGTGTCTGCAAAAAGTATGTGCTGTCCTTTAGTCGTGCCTGCAGAATTCATTTTCAGAGGGCATTTCAGTCTATGCTCTCTATATAACAGAATTGCAGAGAGATTCAGTAACATTCTCTCTGAAATAAAGTGGTGAATATCCTCTCCCTATGACTCAGCTACAGCAGTCATTCCTATCCACAGTGTTGTGTCAGCTGCTTCTTTAGATGAGGCCCAAGGCTGCTAATGTGGGGGTGCAGAGAAATTGAGAGAGTGTGTCTTACGAGCTGAAGCAATTCTCTGAGATAAAAAATCAGTCCTGAAAACTCTTCCTAGATCATCAGAGTGTATTGTTCTACCATGGGATAGACAACAGTCTCTGCATACTATATGCTGCTGTCACTGTATGAAGCTGATGGACTGCCAATCTGATGTTTAGAAGATTCTATCTTCAGTGCTCACTGGTTTTGATCTGAGGTATATCTCATTCACATTTTAAGCTCATTTCAGCTAGTAATCATCAAAGACACATTCAGATTTCACTCTTATCACATATATGCTTTCTGTGTGCTGAAACATACTGCTGCTGTTCTAAGGTTTTCAGTTTCTGTATCTCAAGTTATAATAGTTGTATCTCTTATCTTGTAATAGCTTGAGAGCTGTATTTTCTGATTGTATTCATCTGTTGAGAAGTGTTGTGATCATGTATAGTCCAAGCAGTGGGTGCTTTGGACAGGGGGAGTGCTGAGTGCACTTGTATTGATGGTGGTGAGTGATCGAATGTGAGAACCTGAGTGTGTACTCTCCTAATCATTCATAGTGGACAGTTTGGGTGAGCTCCCATAGATCCAAGGTTTTGAACTCCATTTTGGAGTTATTTTCCTTGTAAAAATTCTCAGTGTATGGATGACTCTGACTGGTGCATTTTTACAAACACTCAAGTAATTAGGGTTTCATTACAAAGTGGTACATAATTCTCTGAGTGCTGTGAGTGAACCAAAATTGATTCAAGAAAAAGAATCATTGAACCAATTTGCCCCTCCCCTTTTGGTTCAACACTTTTAAGGGAACTCATATTAGCACAGATCTGCAGTCAAACAACTATGTGCTTGGAGACAATTGCTTACCATAAATGAGAGGGAACTTTTAGCTCCCTTGTCAAATTGGAATTTGATAAATCTTTTTTTTATTATTTTAAATATGTAATGTTATGTTTAATTTATTTTCTTTCGTTACGTCTTAGTGTGTCTTGGATGTTCCTTAGATTTGAAGGTACCATTTTACTTTCAGTGGCATTTGAAGTAGAAGTTAGTCTAAGATGGGACTTATCATGGAAAATAGGAACTTTATCCTAGTTCATGGAATGTGATCATTCTTGGGTCATTTTTTTTTTTTTTTTTTGATGAGTACATTCTTGGCTCTTCTTGAAATAGCAAAATTTAAAACTTCTATCATTATTTGTGATATGACTTCAGTCTTGTTAAATGGCTTTCCAAATTGAAATGCTGTGTGAAATCAAAATGTAAATGGTGCCACTCAAATGAGATTGAAATGCTGTGTGAAATCAAAATGTAAATGGTGCCACTCAAATGAGTTATGTTCAAACACCCTATATTATTAATGTATACGGAGTAAACTTTATTAAGCTATATCAAAAAAATTAAAAAGGAAAAATCACATATTTTACATATTCACGTTCTTCAAATCCTGTTTTTTGTTGTATGCCAAATCTAACAATCTGTACCTTTGATCGTCATTTGTTCATAATTCTATGTCACCTAGACCTGAAGTACCTTTGGCAACTGTACTAATTGTTAGAATGAATTGTCAGGGTTTTGTTATCTCAGATTGGGAGGGCATTGACAGGATTTCTTCTCCACCACATTCAAACTAACACTAGCTCCGTCCAATTTAGTATTCTAGTTGGCATCAACATGGTTAGTGGCTCTCTTTATGGGCGAATGTCAGTTTAAAACTGAATTGAAGAAAAAACCCTGGCTCCCCCTGTATAGTTGATGCAGCCGTATGGGAGTGATTTAAAACTGAGTCACTGCTGTGGGTGTTTTTCAGGTCATTTTCCTATACAACTATACCGAGTTCATTGACGATCTCATCTTCCTGATTATATAAATAAGGGTATCCCAATGGACCGTATTGATGATGCTGATCTTGATCAGCCTAGTTCATGAGGTTGTAAGCCAGGTTAGTAGATCGTTCCATTATTGGGTTTCAAATTTCTAACCTTTCAAACTTATCACTCTTCTAGTTAGTTTTGGCTATATATATATATTTCCAAGATGGCTTCCTTATATTGGCCATTTTATTTCTTTGGGTAAAGCTACTTTAATGCATGCATATTTTGTATTTGGATAGTGAAAACTCGGGATATGCAAAGACTACAGGTGAAATCTTTTTGGAATGTGAAAATATTGTGGGAATTGGGAAGATATCGTAGATTCATAATCTAATAACATAGTGGAACGAACTGAAAGCATTGCTTGCTAGCAAAGGAAATAGGGGAAACTACTTTTTATCATTTTTTATATTAATCAAAATTTTTTTTTTGTTTTTTGTTTTTGTTGCACAATTCTCAGCTGTTTTACTCGAAGATTCATATTCATTCAAGTTGAAACCTTTTTAATGATAACAAATGAGCATTATTAAGGAGATTCTTCGGAAGAGAATGTTGTTTCCATGAGTTGGACATGTCAACCTCCTTGGATGATTTGGCTATTCCTATGGGGTACCTTAGCTTGTATTAAGAAGAAGAAAAAAGAGAGTTATATATAGTCTCTACGCATATAGACTCTGTATTACTACCATGATCTTATCATTTCCAGTTTTATTTTTTATTAGTACTTTGAGTAATGTTTTCAATCCCAGCATCTTGACTGAATGTCCTATTAACATTATTCAACAGACATGGTTCCTTTTTTTCTTTTCTTTTTTCTTTCATCAACAGGAACCACTATTCTTAATGCCATAAAACCTACAGTTCACAAGAGCACAGTAGTTGTCTACCTTGAGAACCCTAACAGCAACTATGCGAAGTCCAGCAACTTCAATTATGCTATTGCATGTGGTTGCTGGTGAGCATCCTTATGCTGAGAGTGCAGGAGACAGCCAAACACTCACAATGGCAGATCCTGGCCCGAGTGTCATCTGCAACATCTGCAGGGCTGTCAAGTGTAGTGTTGGTGTCATATCCGGTCCACCTTTTGTGATCGAACCCTATATTTCCTCAATTGATGCACTCGTAGCAGCCTGTTTACCGGGCAGTGAAGAACAAGGCGGCGTAACTGATGCCCTTTTCGGAGACTGAATTTACAGGTCAACTTTCACAAACTTGGTTCAAAACTGTAGATCAGCTCCCAATGAATCTTCCATGCATAGTCTATAGTGTTTTCACTTTATTTCATAGTGTCATAATAGAAAGGTGGTTTGACATGTGTCCATATGTATCTCACTCCATTTGAAAGTTGAAAACAAAATCGTTCCTTATTATACAATTGTTTTATTTTTAAAATTCAAGAAATAACACAACTTAAAACAATTTTTACTCATGTCACAATTAAATTTTCAAGTTGAATATGTCCATATTTTCATACTCTATTGTTAACTAGTTACTTCGATTACTTGTATTTAATGAAAGAAAAAACTTGATTATGGACTTTATTTTGTTTCCAGTAGGTCTCTAGCTGTTGTTGATGGAAGGCCATATATTTATACTGTTTGCATATTAGACGACAAATATATTACTTGCAGGATGAAGAGACCTCAATTTTCTATATTGCTTTGTTTGTTTTTATTTTATTTTATTTTATTTTTTAATTATTACAAAACTAACAGTACTTTCTTAGTAAAGGAAACTAAATTTCCAGTATCTTATAAAAAGAGAGGCACTAATTTAAAGTTTTCAGCATTCTTTGTTCAATGATTGGGCTACAATTAATACACCAATTATCGTCACAATTAAATTTTAAATTTTAAATTCTAAATTGAGCTAATGATTTAGGCTATTCTAATGCTTGTGGGCTGGTGATATTTCCTTTACTTTCAATATTAAAGATAGAGGGTTCGAGTTTCTCACATGTCTCGTTTGGTGAATTAATTAAATCCAGACTCTGGGATTGAGGAAATAGCCTAACAAGAGTGTATTAATATATAACTAATAAATCCCAACAACAATTTGAATTGAACTGCTTCACAATGTGTTAAATGGCTAAAAACCATCTAATAGTTTTTCCTATTGTGAAGTTCATTGTTGGAAGATAATATGTATATATATATATATATATATATAAATAAATAAATAAGTAAAGATTGGGCTATGTTTTTAGCTGGGCATCTAAAGCCGGACTTGCTTTTATAAAGAACTACGTTTGAGATAGATCACCTTGACTTGCTTGGTGTTTGGGAAAAGAGATCTGAAAAATCTAATTTTAAAAAAGAAAATCCCATAAAGAAACCTATATTTAGTGACTACATCACCATAATTACAAAGTCACTTGTCAACAGTTCCAAATGGTTCCAACAGTTCAATTATTGTGCAGTTTTTTTCAATTCTCATTTATAATTAAGAAAAAAGAGCCTGTCTTAACTGACCACATGCCAGAACAATGAAGGAATAATCAACTGAACTTAACTCCGCAAATCCTTTAGGCCCAGTTTGGTTGGAGGGTAAAGGAAGGAAAAGAAAAGAAAGGTAATGAAGGGAAATGAAATAATGTGTTTGGTATAGATTTTTTAAAGAAAAGGAAAGGAAATTGAGGGGTTTGGAAGGATACATGTTAGGCTTGAAGGGTTGGTTTTGTAATCTCCCAAAAATGAAAGGAAATGGAGGGAAAGGGAAGGAAAGACTAACATTTTAAATGAAATTTTATTAATACCAAATTTGCCCTTACTTTTATAAAATACAAAATATATAAAAAAGGGTATGATAGTAAATTTATTTAAATAGTTTCATTCTTTTCTTTCTCCAAACATGATTACTATCGTTTCATTTCTTTTTTTATTTTTTTATTTTATCATTTAAAAGGTACAAAGGCCAAGCCAAAGTAACAGTACAAAGACATAAGCCAAGCCAGATAAAGGCATACAAAGAAACAAAACAATGAAATGAATAACAGACCCCAGATTTGTTGAGAAAAAGCCATCGCTCAAGAACGAAAACGCCAAGGGAGAAGAATAGAAACTAGAGTGACCAAATGTCAGATCATTTTTTCCCTTTATTAACGAACCAAACACGATGAGTGATTAACAATGTCATCTCCTTTCTTTTCTTTTATTTTCTCTCCTAACTAATGTTATCCTTTCAAAATTCAAATACTATGTCATTGTTTTAAAATCAATATATATATATGTATATAGTATAAATGTTTTAAAAATATAAAATACAAATTTTTATTTTTATTTTTTCTGAAAGGTGATACAATAAGAACATCAAGCTCATAAAATTAGTGTGAAATTTAAAAAAACAAGAGAAGAAAAAAATATAAGAAGAGAGAAAAGGGTTTATTGCACATGCATCATACTACATATGAGTGGAAGAATATATATATATATATATATATATATATATATATATATATATATATATATATAAGAAGGAAAAAAAAAAAAAAAAAAAAAAGAAGAAGAAGAAAAAGAAAAGAACAATGAAAGACTTTGAAGGTTTAATTGAAGAAAGTGAATGAAATTTTTTTTAAAGGTATCAAAAATAAATTAAAAAAAAAAGTAAAAAGAGAAAAAAGAATACGGAGAATTTTAGAGGTACATTACTTATATATAAGAGCCACATTTGGGTACAAAGGGACAACTTTATAAATGAGAATTTTAGGAGTGGCATTTTATATAAGTTTTAAAAATTACATACCCTAAAATTAAAATATTTATATGTAAGCAACCACATTGGGCTCACATCTATATGTTGCAAATATGTAATACGAGCATCTACATTAATATTTTATGAGTGGCTTACAAGAATATTGGGCCCTTGAGAGACCCAATGTTCATCCGCTGTTGTGAATTGCACCTCAAAGTACTCCATATGTATTATATGAGAGTATTTACACGAATATTGTATGAGCGTTGATTCTTCCACTCTTAGACATAATGTTTCGCATTGATCATTCAAATTGTATAGTAGAATATATATATATATATATATGAAAGATAAGAAGTGACAAACAGTGTCTCAGAAGTTTTTAGCCTCTTGTCTATTAAGTAGAAATATATTTCAAGCTATTATATTTGGATCATTGATATAAAAAGAAACATATATGGAAGCTTAGAAACTGACTACGTCTCAATCTCATCAGCATTGAGTAGTAACAAATTATGGGCAAAATATTTTATTTTTTTGGGTAATATATATATATATATATATATATATATATTTCAAGGATTGACAAAGGTTTAGATTTAAGTTTAGGTTTAGGTTTAGGTTAAACCCATCTGATGAAGCATATGAAATAACTTGCTTAAAATTGATGAATAAATTAAATTTAAGTTGCATTTGGGGTCAAAATGTAATAGAGAGAGACAATTACATAAATTGCATATACGTGGATAAATTATATGCACAAAGTAAGTTTCATTTGGGGTCAAAATATAATAGAGACAAATACGATTGCATATACTCTCTAATGGATTAAGGATATGTAAGTTATAAGAGTCACAAAAAAATAAGATTTATAACATATTGACTACTGATGTGGACCAATAATAAATGGATACATTATATTTTAATTACCAAATCATAAATAGTAATTAAATCACAGTAAGTGGGGATCTCTCCCACCATGAAAGAATAGTGTACATCCTCACTCGCGAAAACTTAAATATTGTCCAAAAAATTAGTTATAATATATATATGGACAATATACTTAGGTCTCTCACATACTATTATTGATGTAGACCAATAATAAATGGACATGTCATATTTAAATTACCAAATAAAAAGATGGTGTCCGGTGGTAAATACTCACTTATCAAAATTAGAGATAGTAATTTCATTACCATATATAATTTGGTAATTAAAATAAGATGTGTATATTTATTGGTCCAGTTCAATATGTTATAGATATTCACAAATAAAGATCTAAATATTATCTTTTTTATTTAACTACATCAAGGGTGGGACCGTGTACATTCACACTCTTAAGTACCCAAGTTTTTTCTATAACCTTTTGTATACTCCTAACAACAATGCTAATATTATAAACTAATTAACAAGCCAAAATACATAGTTAAGTTACTTAAAATTAGTTTTCGGTAACTCCCAAAATACACAATAGAATTATTGAACGCCATTCTCTAAACTCTCCTATTTCTCACTTCAAATTTTCGAATTTTTTTTTAATAAAAGATGTTGATTAAAAAAAAAATTAATATTCTTAAAAATCACACGCAAATCATTTATATATACAATTTCTAAACTTAGATATTTGTTTCACGTGAGAGTCTCACTGTCTCAGTACGTTGAACGGATAGAATTACGGAATCACACGTGCGAGTTTTTTTTCCCGTCCAACGTGCGAGTTACTGGGGTAGAGTACTACAGTGCTGGAGCAGCGTAACTATAACATAAATACATAGTAATATTACTCCTATATACATATAGGGAGATGAGCCTAAAGAGTAGTGACAAAAATATAAAAACAAATAAAAATGGTGGGGACTAGGGAGGAATGCGTAATCTTTGGAGCGGAGGTGGTGGTGGTGGGTGGTGGTGTGGGGCTGCAGAAAAAGTGGGACCCACAAAAGGGAACAAACCTTTTTGTTGTGGAGTGCTATGGCTGGGTGACTCTCGTTTTCATGACTCACTCATTTTGTTTTTTAATATAACACACTTTCTAATTTTCATATATTTTCAATCACACCCTCTTTCTTTCTCATAAAATATGGAAAAAATTAAAATAAAATAAAAAATTTGAGAGACAACTATGTGTTTTCCAAAATACTCAAGTCCCATCAGGGTTTTTCTCATCCCCCCTCTCTCTCTCTCTCTCTCTCTCTCCACTAATTTAATCAGGTTTGCTATCTTGTGCCATTTCTCTCTTTCCTTTCTATATTTGCATTAATCTCCTCTTCTTTTTTTTTCTTCATAATTTTAAATTTCATTTCATATTCAGTTTTGCAGGCAGATTCTTCATCTACTTATTAATTGAATAATCTGTCCTTTGTTTTTGTGTACTGATTGAATATTGATGATGGTATTTGCATTTCTTTTGTGGGTTTTTGAATTCTAGGGTTGGTACTTGATCTTCGATATGTTTCTCGAAATTTCTGTGGATTGGATTAAGCTTTGGGGGTTTTAAGGGTTTCTAATGGTGGAGCGATAATCTGAGCTGGGTTTGCTTCCAAAGGGACAACATATGCGTAGATTTTCACCTTCTCTGATGGGTTTGCTTCTTTTTTTTCATGGTTTGATGTCCTGCGCAAGATAATTATCTAGATCGTCTTAGAATAGGTATCAAAGTAGCACTTTTTTTTTTTTCTTCCTACTTTGATGAAAAAAATTGGGGGTATAATCTCTGGTTTGCGTATCTTTTCCTTTTAGCGAAGCTGGGTTTTTGTTTGTCATACTGTTTGTTGAAGGCATTTGGAAACTTTGATTTTTAGAGAGAGAATGTAATTGGGTTTTGATTGAATTTGCATGAGGGATTTGGTTTTGTTGGAACTGGGATTCCGAAGAGAGGGTTTTCCTTTATGGTCCGGAAGAATTGAGAGTTTTTACCAATTTTGGGGTTCTTGATTTGGGTGGATAGTCAGTGCTAGAGAAATGGAAGATGGGAAAAGTTTTGTCATGAAAAGGGATGGATTGCGGTTGGGGGTAAATGAGACGAAACCCGAAGAACCATCGTCTGCTCGAATGGAATCTGATGAGACTGGAATTGGAAGTACAAAGAATGAGATTGTAGTTTTGGAATCTGAAAACGGCGAGGGAAGCAATGTGGTGTTCTCAAGAGAAGCACCCCTTGCGAGTACAGAGCCGAGAATTTCAGGAGGTTGTAGTTGTGGCTCGAAGAAACTCAAATCGGGGATGTGCCCTACTGTGGATTCCGAGATCAGCAAAAACAAGGAAATTGGGTATGAGAAAAAACTCAACAGGCAAGACAGGATTGAGTTGGGGCGAATGTTTCAGGGTTCTGTGAGTTCCCGTGATTGGAAACATGCAGAGAGTCTGATCTCATTGGCAGATCCGCAGACTCTTAATGATGCTTTGTGCATTTCCTTGGATTCAATCTGGTTTCTGAGCACCCAGCACGAGCTATATGGCATAACTGGATTAATTAAGAACATTATTAATAATGGTGCTTATGACTTCACGAGAGCTGCTCTTAGGACTTCTTTTCTTGCTTCATGTGTTTCTGCCTGCCAGAGCCGAACAATGAGTCTGGCGGATACAGTAACGGTAATGGCTCAGAGGTAAATTATCTACATTAATATTCCCTTTTCGTTTGCAGCTTAAATGTAAACAGTTTTGGAAGCCATTGTGCATCTCTTTGATTCTTTCTCCTAGAGCTTGAGTCAGAGCTCAGTTGATAGTTGTAACTGAGTGTGTTGTTACTATTTGGCTTGCTAAGTGCTGACACTTCCAGTTGCCTACTTGCATCTTATCATAATTTCAGATTTCCTAGCGGCGGCTATAAATTTGTTAGCCGAGATATGATAGGCTAGAAACATGGATGTAACTTATCATGTTAGCCCCCAGAGATATGATAGGCTAAAATAATGGGATTTGACTTTATATATGCATTTGTTTAGGCATAGAATATGCAATGAAATGTACTCTTTTTTTATTTAGTTTCATTTCTTGTAATATTAATATGTGCTCTTTTTAGTATATAAATATCAGAGCTGTGAATGAGTGTTCAAGTTTCATTCAAGCCTTTACATATTATTATTCTCATTCAAGCGAATCAAGCCTTTGCATATTTCTCTTCTATTCCTTCTTTGTACTTCTTCTTGGTATCAGAGCCAGGGTGGTCCGACCGTAACGGGGGCGTTGCGAGTTCGGCATTCCATCCACATATTTATAAACATATGTATGAAGGGAAATGGTCTGAGGAGACATTGGTGATTGATTGTTTATGGTCTGAGGAGACATGTTGATTGTTTCATCTACATATTTTAAACATGTGTATAAAGGGGAATGGTCTGAGGAGACACTTTTGATTCTTCTATGTACATATTTTAAATATTTATATGAAGGGAAATGATCTGAGGAGGCAATAATGGTTGTTTATGGTATGAGGAGACATGGTTGGTTTGCGTATAGCCTGAGGAAACACCAACTGAGTCAAATAAGACGTATCCACAGTGGTTTGGAGAAAATGCCATGGTTATGTCATGGCTAGTCAATTTAATGCAACCAAACATAGTGGCTATATATTTATAAAAAACCGTGTTTGAGGATGCATTGTCAAAGTTGGGCGTCTCACATATCCACACCCAACTTTAGGGGGAGTGTTAGCCAAGATATGATAGGCTAGAATCATGGATGTAAATTACTATAGTAGCCGAGATATGATAGGCTAAACCCGTGGAATTTGACTTTATTTATGCATTTGTGTAGGTATAGGATATGCAATGATTTTATTCAGTTTCCTTTCTTGAAATATTATCATGTGCTCTCTTTAGCATATAAATATCAGAGTTGTGAATGAGTGTTCAAGCCTCATTCAAGCCTTTACATATTATTATTCTCACCCAAGCAAAATATTTTTCTTTTATTCCTTCTACTTTGTATTTCTTCTAAATTACATACGGGCTTTGATGAAAGATTGCCTACTTTAAGTGTGGCATAGATGTGGGACTGCTACAACACAAATGCTTTGACACATCAAAGTTTTGTAAATTAGTAACGAACACGACATTGATACGACAATATATATAGGTGTGTGATTAATGGAGACCACGCTAATAATGATCCTTCTTACACACACACACACACACACACACACACACACACACATTTAGAAATGATCTCTTGCTCACCGGTGAGTAAGATACTTTTTTCACCCCAAGTATAATGATGGTCATATTACAAATCCACCTTTCTCATTTTCTAATCCTACAAAACCACTTTTCTATCTATTTAAAGTTTTCTAAACCACTTTTCTACCTATTTAAAGTTTCCTAAACCACTCTTCCCCCTATATTCAGTTTCCTAAATTAACATTACCATTTTTTTTCCTACCCTTAATTAATATTTGGATTCGAAAGACTTTATATAATGAATGTTTTTGTGAAAGAGTGCATTCACTTTTTTGAGTTTTTTATGTAAGAAATCAAAGCAAGTCCAAATGGGTTTTTTACTCCAATTTCTATGCAAGCCAAATCACATGCGAAAGGCAAAGTTTTTTTTTAGGTAATTCAATAGAAGATATGAAGGCCAAATCATATGTAGTGTACATTTGTACAGAATTATTGCCAAATAGAGAAAAATTGACCAAATTCATTAAGACAAGTAAATAAGGACAATATTTTAATTCCCATTGATAACAATATTTTATCAATTAACTAATTCTATTTATACTTTCATGATCATGATGATCATCATTATACCGATTGATGCTTAAATATGTACCTTTGAGAAGATGAATGAATAGGTTGGCAGGAAAGAATATGTTACATGGACTCGGGTAAGTGTGTCGGGTACGGGTATGTATCCATGTGTCGGACGTGTCGTATCGCTAAACAGAAGGACATACGGACACTGCTAAATATTCATTTTATTTAATTAGTAAATTTTATTTTCTAGAGTAAGGTAATGTTTTTATCTAATATGGTGTTCAATCTAAGCTTTAAACTCATTTAAAGTAAATAAACAATATAATTGAATGATTGGATATGTTTTTTAAGTACACGTCCAACCAAAAGTGTCGGACACATGTCCGAGCAATATGTGTCCGACACGGGTACTTCACTACTTTTGAAGAGTCCATGTAACATAGGGGAATAATATGAAAAGCACGAAATGATATTTTAATGTTAGGATTTTTTTGATAATGTTAGTTTAGAAAACTTTAAATAGGGAGAACAGTGGTTTAGGAAACTTTAAATAGGTAGAAAGGTGGTTTTGTTGGATTACAAAAGGAGAAAGGTGGGTTTGTGATATGACTGTTGGACGTTATACTTGGTGGAGAAAATTTTAGCAAGTGGTCATTTTTGTACATATATTAGTGTGTGTGTATATATATATCTATTAAATGAGACAACTATAACGTGGAATGGTTTTCTTGCATCTATACTATATATATTTTTTTAATAAGTAAAATTTCATTGAAGAGCGATAAGATAGGGGAGTGTACTCCGAGTACATCTGCACAAGAAATAAAACCTACTATGCCCTCAAAGTATCCCACAAAAGACAAAAGACCCTCCACAGATTTAAAATTCCACCCATGAGCCCAAAAGCTTTGCAAATAGAATTTTTTTTTTTTTAATTATACGAATCTCCTGATGGATCTTTTTTTTTTTTGATAAGTGAATCTCCTGATGGATTTTTGTCACTAGAATTACATTCGTGTCCTTTATTTAAGTGACAATTGCATGCTTGACTTGTGATGGCCATTTTTCTTAAAGAAAGAAAGGTTGGTGACTTTAGGGTTGTGTCTTGGGTTTCCAAGATTGTTGGACATGACTTGTTTAAGATGTGCTTATGCTACATAAAGCTTGTGCTGGAGAATTTCTTGGATGCGTTGGCCAAGTGTCCAACATAATGACTTCTTTTTGGTGGTGGTGGTGGTTGTTTTTTGTTTGGGCACGACCTTGAGGTGTTGTGTATTGACGCTTTGATATGTGCCTGGTACAGATACGAAACTTCCCTAGAAGTATCCATGCCGTATTTGTGTTTCTTAGCTGAAGCATCATGAGTTTAATGGTGTTTTGTTATTCTAAGTTTATCTATTTTTATTTTTTACTTCCTTTTGGTTACATCTTACATAGATATGGGTATACGTTGTATCTGGTATATGTAGCATGAAAATTGATTGCTTGTTTGCTTGATTATTTTTATTTGGTAAGTCGGTTTGTTTGACTATTGCCTCCTTAGCAGGTTGCATGAGCGTCTCCAGGAATGCAATGGGGATGAGGTTTTGAAGGCCGAAGCTGGCGCCAAGGTCCAGAAGTTTACTGAATGGGCTCTGAAGTGTATAGGCTTTCATTCTCGTTGCCAGGGGAATAGGGGTGAAGTGAATCATTATTCAGCTGTCGAGATTCAACTTCAGTTATCTGCATTCAAGACATTTCTTGATCTTGCTGGCAACCATCTTACTGGGAAGGACTTCACGGAGGCCTTTGATGCAGCCTGCTTCCCCCTTACTCTATTCTCTAGTTCTTTTGACACTGGTTGGGCATCTGGAATGTCAGCAACTGCAATTCAGGGGTTGTTGGGTATGTTGGTTGAAGGGGGTGCAGACAATGTCAACCAATGTTTTCTTGAAGCCTCACGTTTTGGGAGCACAGAGCTTGTGCGCATATTGTTGCAGGTAATATTTGTTATGGTGACATTTTGAAGAAAATCATCCATTCATCATTCATGCATTTTGGTTGTTTATATTGCGTATAAATATAATGTAAGGTTCAAGTTTATTAGGTAAAATAGAAAATTACCCTTGACTTATATTTTAGCTTTGTACTCTGGTTTCCGCATGCGCATGCCACTTCTAAAAACTTGGTATTTTTTCCTCCTCTTAGCTTGGTTTTAAATATGTCTAGACATTTGTTCTATCTGTTGGCTTTATCCTTTGTTTTCATTTCATTTTTTATTTCTCTGATGGATCTGCGGTTTTCATTTTTTCTTTTGGTCAGGATGGTTGTTAATTCAATCCAAATTTATTTTAGTTTTCTAGTCTAAATCATGATCTAATTTGATGGTTCACTTGTTAGGCCACATATTTTGTATAACACAATATGGTGATTGTTTTTGCTTCAAATTTATTTAGTTTATTTTAGTTTATTTATTTAGTTTATTCTGTATAGTGGTTATATTGGCAATATAAAATCATTGTCAGAAGCAAAAATTGACATATAATGTGATGATGGAAAACCATAAGGCAATATGGAAGAAATCAATTGTCATAGGGTGGCCATAGGTTTCTACTTCTTTGTTGATATTTATGCTATTTCTGATATGATAGGAGAAGGAATAATGAAGGAGCTTGTTAACAACTACATCATAATGAGTCACATTATACTCTTTTCATTCATGATAATCCATTCACGATAATCCAGAAATCACGGACTGAGAGGGAAATAAAAAAGGATAACATGGACAAAGCTTTCTAAGGACTGGTCATGTGGCTTCCAGAGGAGCTTATATTCTCTTTGATTTTGTCTTAAGAATGTTTACCCTGGAGAGGGCAATTGTCCTTCTGGTGCCCATGATTGTTACTTGTAGTTTGGTGTTGTCACAAGCTGATAGTCCCCCCTTAGCTTACTGTAATAAGGATCACATGATCTGAAAAGCTGTATCCTTCTGTTCTGAACAGCTAAATTTTCTGACCCTATTTTTTTTGCTGTCTGGCAAAGTAACATTACATTTGGACTAAAAATTTAAAAGATGTAAAAAAATTGGGGCAAAAAACGGCAATCATCATGGCATATTAAGAAACCAACTGTATTTTGAAGTTTGTGTTTTACCCTATGTTACGTGGACTTGGGTCCATGTGCCGATTTTGGGTATGTGTTTAATAGTTGAATTTTTCAAATCTCCAAACCCGAGGATATGGGCTTGGGCCTGGGCTAGTCCAATTCACAAGGTTCCCACGGGAAGGGTTTGATGAATGTAGCCTTACCGCACATTAGGGACATGACTAAATGTTCATATTATCTGAAGTTCTGTTTTTGTTCTCTAGAGTAAAAGAAGGATGCTCGTTTTGAAGTAATAATGTGACAAGATGAGCATTACAGTTATATAATAAACTTGAATTACTTGATATGCTTCATGGTTACATGTCCAATCATATGCGTCGGACATGTCCTATATCTTTTTCTGAGTGTCATGTATTTGACAAAGGTAGAGCCCATGTGATATAGGTTTTGCCTTTACACGGTTGCTTTATGGTAATGTTTTTGAAAGTGGATAGAATGTTGTGCATTTAAACACTTTATCATACAGACCTATTGATGCTATGCAATCGTTACACCATATATTTTTGTTCCTATCTGATGTGAGCGACCACTGCAAAATTTTGAAATAGTGTTGTCTACGTCGCTATGATTAGGCTTATGTTGCACAAAGGTTACAGAAAGCTTGTAGGCTTACAGGTTTAAAATGTAGAAGGCATTTAAATTTGTGGATAGTGAAGATTCAGATTGTTCTTGGTTCTATAGGGTGATTCGGTGATAGATTTATAAAAACTAGCTGCACAAAATTCTGGATGGCATCTATTTAAGGGTTTGGACTCACAAAGCATGGCTATAGGGGCTCTGCAAATTCTAGGGTTTATAGAATTATGTTTTTGGAGCCAAGAGAGAACAGGCAATGGTTGTAATTTGATTAACAAAATCTGATATCTGAGTATTGAAGAGAGAACGAAGGAGAAAAAAAAGGTGAATTGAAGGATTTCATAGATATATATAGGTTGCCGACCTCTAGTACTTTACTATCAAATTGGACTAGAAAGTATAAAGCATGAAATCTGACTATGAAGTACATTCTAGGTCTTCTGTAAACCAGAGTTAAAGACCCAATAGAGTAATTGGTGTAGACAACTCTATATTGCCCCTCCTTCTGAGTGGGTCCAATTAGTTTGTTAAGAGTCTAATAACCAAAAGTACAGTCCATAAAAAACTTTGAGTCAACCAAAGTTGATGTAGGACAAAGAACAGGCTCAAATAGAAGAAAGCAAATAAGAGAAGAAAAGCCTATTGGAATCACTCCAACAGGGCCTGGGTATCACACCTAGAGAAGGTCTCACACCCTCAGAATTTGTGAATCACTCATAAAAAATCTCAAAAGATATTTTGTTATTCATTCATTGACTGAGTAATCAGAATTATATAGTATCCTTTTTATAATAAAGGATGACCTTTGGATTACCCTGCAATGGAGGTAATCAAAAGTTGATTCTAGCTTAAAGTAATAAATAACTTTATTGATGCAATTTAATCTAATTGATGCAATTTACCAAAACAATGCAATTTCACATGTTGCCCTGCTTTAGGTTGGTAAGTTGATCACACAGTTTGTCATGGTAATCAGCCGGCATGCATTTCTCTCAATGCTTTGCTTTCATTTCTTGCCATGTGCTGATTGGTGGTTGTCCCAGCCCCCTAATATCCCCTTCAACACTAGTCCACCATATTTTTGTTAAGCCCAAAAGCTTCATTCTAGCATATCTCACTCTACGATCATCACTCATGTCATACCAATCAAAATATTCTTCAATCGAAGCAAGCCAATCCGAAAATACAGTAGGGTTCAACCTTACCTTCAAAATCTGGCAGCTCCGTTTTAATTTTCTTTGTGATATCCCCAGCGTTATCATGTGGCACGTGATAATTCATTCCCAGCAGATTTTTCGGAAACTCGAACATTGGGTGGGGTGGTGGATCAGCCCTCACATTTTGCCTTTGCTGCACATTTAAAGGATGTTGTTGCTCTTGACCGCTGCCATCATTTGTTCTGGATGCAGTTACTTGTTCAACAGAAGCAAATTTGTTAATAGGTTGACACATTCGAGCTTCTAACTCATTGAATCGGACATTCAACCAAAGCTTAAATATCAGCTCATCTCGCTTATTACTACCCGATCTTTCATTTCTTGATTGTGTCAACATGATGTCAACTCAGGCTCTGATACCAAAAACTGATGTAGGACAAAGAACATGCTCAAATAGAAGAAAGCAAATAAGAGTTGTGGGCTGGAAATTCATAAAACAAAGCTAAGATTCAAGGGTTGTTAGTAAGAGAAGAAGGATTGAAAATAACAAAGAAAAGCCTATTGGAATCACTCCAATCCAATAGGGCCTAGGTATCACACGTAGAGAAGGCCTAACACCCTCAGAATTTGTGAATCACTCACAAGATATCTCAAAAGATATTTTGTTATTCATTCATTGAATGAGTAATCAGAATTACATGGTATCCTTTTTATAATAAAGGATGACCCTTGGATTACCCTACTATGGAGGTAATCAAAAGTTGACTCTAGCTTAATAAAGTAACAAATAACTTAATTGATCCAATTTAATCTAATTGATGCAATTTACCAAAACAATGCAACTCTTCACCATAATTAATGCAATTACCAAAATAATGCAATTTGACCAAACCCCCTAATCATGCAAGACTCCAAGTGGACCCCCCATCGTCTAGCATGTGCGAAATTAAGGTGTTGAGCCTTTGACACCTCCTTGCCACGCCTTTTATATACTGTAAAAGGCTGCTGCCACTGTTCTCTACCAATAATTTACCTTTCAAATCAACTTTGACCATCAAATTGGACCTCCGGGGCTCCAAAGCCCAAATTCATAAACACTCATCATTGACCATTTAAACAATGTTGGGGACCTGGACATTTGAAGAAATCAAATTTATAGCTTTACTCTTCTCTTGTATATATTGTGAATTTCTTACTATAGCAGCCACAACTAATCACATTCCTGATCCTGTCTCATTAAGGGGAAAAATGACTTTACTTTCCTCATTCCATTAAATAGACTTCAAATAAGTCAAACTTTAACTGATCACTAAGGATCTGGAATGATCTTTGGAACAAAACCAAAATTTTCTACTAAGATGAGCGCAGTTGTCTCACGTGTTGGTCCTGTAGTTGACTTTTGACCTTCAATTTGACTCACTAAATCTACCTTAGAGGACCCAACAAAATGGAATTCATTTCTCCGACTTATTTTCGAGTCAAATTTTCTATTTTACCTTTGACCACAAGACTGCATGGTCTAACGTGACATCATATTGTAATAAAATGTGATTCTGCACTTATCTTGCTATCTCCCTTAAGGCTCTTCTTTTGCTAATCCAATATTTACTCTGCTTCAAAGGGCAATTCAACTGGTTCAACAATTTAAAGCTTGAACATCAGTGCTGTTGGTGTGAATTCGAGCCTCAGAGCTGCCACTTCGTGAAATATCCAAAGGTTAGGTGTGTCTTGAGGTCCCCCTCTCTAGGACCCATCCGTAGCAGGACCAGATTGACTAATGCCCCTTTATTCTTCAGTTTAAAATCGATTGCATAGCTGCATTCTCTAGTTGAAACTTGAAAAACTTTAAAAAGTGTCTACATCCAACTGTTGATCGGGTTGCCTATACGCATTCATAAACTTTATCATTGTAAGTAGGACAAAAGACACATTAACATTCTCCCAACCGACTGTTATGGGGACTTGAACCCGCAATCTCAAAATCAGACTGCATCCTTGAATAAATCATTGAAATAGATGGATTATGTTCATGGATCACAAAATAGGTCAAAATCAACCACCTTGCCTGTAAACATAAGAAATCTGCTAAACAAACAAGGCTGTGATGCGTGCTAACGCGTTACTGCTCCCCAAGTTTCATAACAGCCTTTGTTATGTGGCCACATGCTTCCTGATTTTTTTTTGGAAAACTCTAAAGGGTATGCACCAAAGCATGCTTCCTGATATTTTTTGGAAAACTCTAAAGGGTATGCACCAAAGCATGCTTCATCTAGTGCTGCCTATGTGAAGCATAGGTTTATGTTTCACATGCTAGAACCAACATGATTTGTTTCTCTTGCTTGTGTTCAACATGACACATGACAAGTGGTGGGGTGCTACAAATTCTGTGTCAAATCCTGCAACCTAAAATTTGTGTTTATGTTTATGCTTGTGTTGCCCATGTGAAGAATCCCTTTATGTTTCACATGCTAGAACCAACATGATACGTTTCTCTTACTTGTGTTCAACATAACACATGAAGAGTGGTGCTACGAATTCTGTGCCACATCCTGCAACCAGAAATTATGTTTTTCCTAATCAATCCCCATTTATTCACATGTTCATAAGCATCTATCTCATGACACATCAATAAAATTCCAGTTGGGCCATTCAAAGGAGGTCTCATATGGTCCTAGATGTTGCCTTTAACAGCTGAAGAGTGGATGCGGTTTATTGAAGTTACAGGAAGACCGTTGTTTGTATGAAATAAAGATGCCAACAAAGAGATTCTTAAATAGGGTATTTTTTTTTTATATATTTTTTTTCTCACTGTTTTACTTACCAAAAAAAAAAAAAGAAGAAGAGGAAAAGTTTTATTATTAAGAAGGAAACCTTTGTTTTTACGAGATAGAGATCCCAACTTGCTTTTCTAGCCAATTCATTAAATTTGTGAACATAGATTTATCTAGCATGAACTGGTTATGTAAGAGCATATTACTATATGAGACAATTTCATTCCTATAAAATCTTAAAATGCTCCCTAAGTTTCTATAACTAAATCCATGATTTTGTAACTGAAGTTCAATGTTATTGTGTACATTGTGGTATATGGTATCCATGACCTGCACTTAATTTTGATTTGCTGAGCAAATTAAGATCACATTGTTGAAAAGTGTGTCTAATTATAAGGAATTTGGTTTACTTTTCAGAGCTTTTATCTTGTGGAAAGGTCTTGTTTGGTATGTTGCATGGGATATATGTAACTTGCACGTTGTTGACAAGAAACTTGAGTGTAGGACTTCATAAATAATTGTCTCAAGTTAGAAGGTGAGGCTAATGAACGAGAGGGACTCGTGAGAGAAATGGGTTGCCTCACAAGGTGTTTGGAGTGGTGAGAATGGAGAGTGAGACTTCTGGAGGGTGACCCCTCTTTGCGTTTGGTGGAGTCTTCGGAAAGAGCAGAACAGAAGATCTTTTGATGGGAAGGAGTCCTCTATTGGAGAGATGAAATTTTCTATTATTTGTACCCTTTTTTGTTGGGGTTGGGGGAGGGATTATTCTTCTTTAGAGGACATTGTGGACTTTTTTGGTTCTTTGAGTTCATAGATTCTTTTTGTGTATATCTCGGGACGCGTTCCCCTTTTGAACGCTTTCTATTACATTTTACTTATCAAAAAAAGAGAATGGAGAGTGAGAGGACACTAGAATGAGTAGGGGGGAAGCAGGGACAGTTTCGTGGCTCCTGGTCCATTAGAGAGCGTGGGAAATCTAGATTGCCTCATAATTTTGGGTTGGGTGTCCTTTGGGTGTATGTTTCCCTTCTACAGTTTGTAATATGGCTACAATTTATAGTGGATAATTGTTAGAGGTGTCCCACATCGGATCTGGATGGGAAGTGAAATAAGTATATATGGGTAGGTCTGTAACACTATCCAATAGGTTAAGCTTTTGGGTTAGAGGGCAAGCGTCCGACCCGTTACAGTTGGTATCAGAGCCAAACCCAGTCTTTGATCCGGTGTCGCGTCAAGCGCTTGCCTGGGCTTTCCCACCCGGGAGGTGCCCAAGTCTAGGCCAGGTAGGCAAGGTGGCCCAATCACAATGCCCTCGTTGTGAGCTTGGGTGGGGAAGAGTGTTAGGGTGTGGCGTTGATGGATATGATGAGTGTCTTTGTTGAACAATGTTAATTATGTTGTTCATTGCATGCCAGTTTATTTGTGCTTAAGGCATGTGCTTCAGCTGCACCATAAAGTAGTACTATTAGAACTTTGGGCCTACTTTTTCAATATTTGTTAACAGAGTTTCTTGCTCCTAAAAAGTGGTATTAGAGTGTTGTGGTGCCTAACAAGTGGTGTCGGAGATGGTATTTTAGACAAAACATGTTATCTAGCAAGAAGTGGATATTAGCGGCCCCCCTTTTAGAAACTCGTGGGCCCAAGCTGTGTGCCATGCACAAGAGCAACTTTCTGTTGATGATAATGTGTGACTCAACGTAATTTCCTCCTATGTTGTCAGGAGACTTGAGATGATTCAACGTAATTTCCTTTGGGGTGGTAGGGGGGATGAGTTTAAGTATCATCTTGTGTGGTGGGAGTAGGTATGCAGACCTTTCAAGTCAGGAGGTCTTGGGATTCGGAGGTTAGCCCCCTTCAATAGGGCTCTTCTTGGCAAATGGCTTTGGAGGTTTGACAATGAAAGACACAGACTTTGGAGGAAGATCGTTGCCTGTCGGTTTGGAGAGGGTAGAGGGGGTTGGTCTGCTCGACAGACTAGATCTGCCCTCGGTGTGGGTGTGTGGCAGTTTATTGGGAAGGGTTGGGATGAGTTTTCTAAGCATATTAGATTCAGAGTCCAGGAAGGTCGGAGTGTCCGGTTTTGGGAGGATCCTTGGTGCGAGGAGCGTCCATTGTGTTGTCAGTTTCCAAGGCTGTTCAGGGTTGCTGTGGATTGCCATGCTTCGGTATCGCCTTGATAGCGGTAGGTTTTCGTGGGATGTTCGGTTCCGGCGAGCTTTTCAGGATTGGGAGCTGGATGACGTCACTGCCCTTTTGGACCTTTTATATCGACAGGAGGTGGTTGGCACTGGGGCGGACCTCTTGACATGGATGCCTTCTTCGCAGGGGACCTTTCAGGTCCGGTCTTTCTTCTTTTGTTTTTCCGGTTTTCAGACTTCCACTTATCCATGGAAAACGGTTTGGCATTCGAAGGCTCCTCTTAGGGTGGCTTTCTTTGTTTGGACTGCTGCTTGGGGTAAGATCCTTACTTTGGACAATTTGAGGAAGAGGAGACATGTCATTGTTAATTGGTGTTGTCTGTGTATGACTGATGGAGAGTATGTGGATCACCTTCTCTTGCACTGCCCAGTGGCCCATGACTGTTGGAGTCTTATGTTGGATCTTTTTGGCGTTCAGTGGGTTATGCCTAGGACTTCTTGTGGCCTTATTGATATCTGGAGGAGTCAAATGGTGGGGGCTCGAGTTCACGTTTTCTGGAGGGCGACCCCCCTTTGCATTTGGTGGTGCCTCTGGAAAGAACGTAATAGAAGATTCTTTGTTGGGGAGGAGTTATCCATTGGGGCTCGTAAGTATTCTATTATTTGTTCTCTTTTTAGTTGGGGTATGGGGAGAGATTGTTCCTCTCTTGAGGAGTTTTTGGACTTTTTGGGATCATTGGGATCTTTGTCTTCTTAGGCTCTCTTTTTTGTTCTTGGTTCTTGGTTCTTGTACAGCTCTTGGGATGCATTCCCCTTTTGAACGCTTCTTAATACATTTTACTTATAAAAAAAAAAGATAATGTGTGACTCAACTTAATTATGATAATCGATGTTATTCACTAGAATTTTTTTTTTTTTAAGTTAAAAGGTAAGCAAAGTTATTCACTAGAATTGAGGTGTCCTAACTTGCTTGTTTTCATTATCCTTTACAGAAAATGTTGTCTTTTATTTAGATACATATCTTATAATTCCTGAAATTTGATCCCTTTGCCATGACATGAATCCCCTTTTAGCATCAATCAGTGGAAGTATTAGAGTTGCCATGTGCTATATATTTGATGTTCTTACTCTTCTTTCATGTTAAAGAATTCCCCCTTTCTGGTTACTTGCACTTCATTTGTGACCAAAAATCCAGCACCAGGTGCAGTAAGATGCATTTTAATGAGTAATTGAGCAATTGTGTTTTCCTGCTCCCCCTGATAGTTCTTGTTATACTGATATATGGATAATAATAAGGCAATTTTGTTACTTTACTGAGTTTCCATTTGATACAGCATTATTGGAGAACTCATGCATGTTATTGAGGGGTATATTTTTTTCCTATTATCACAAAAATGGAAGTCATCAAAAAGCATAGAATGTAAAGAGTTAGATGCTTTGTAATTTTATAATGCTTGCATGACTTGTATATGTCTCTAATTCTTTTTACATTCATTTCTCATTTGTGTTTGGGTTTGAAATTTCTTTTCTTAGATTGCCCAAAGGAATAGCTTGGATGTTGATGTTGATCTGGCTTTGGGCTTTGCTTCACACTATGGCAAGATTGGCACCATGGAATGTCTAGTGGAAGAGGGTAATGCCTCGGCTTTCTTGGGTCCTTTGATGAGAGCAGCCGAGAGGGGTTGCATGCTGGTTGTCCAATGGTTTGTGAAAAGGGGTTGCCGAGACATGGATCTTTGTCTTGCCCTCACAGCTGCCACTTCTAGCAGCCAAGTTGAGATAGCTGCGTATCTCCTCCCTCATGTTCCCCAGCATGTCCTTGAGGCCCTCAGTATCGAAATTCTCAAGGCTGCTGGTGAACGGAGTGGAGGGTCTCTTGATGGGGTAGCATTTCTCCTCGGTTCAAACTTCCTAGGTGACCCTGCCACTACTTACGCTGTTGCAGACAGCATTGCTAGGTCTGACGACGAGGCTATTGCTCCTGAGCTGAGGGCATTTCTCCGGGAACACTGGTCAGAGGCAGCTTTCTCAGAGGGACTGAGGGTAGGAGAAGAACATTACTTCAACATAGTAAGAATATTGATGTGGGGCGGATCTCCTATTTGCTTGAGGGATCTCCCAGCTCCCTTGAGGGTGGCCATAGCGTACTTACCCCTTTATAGGGAGTGTGTCAAAGCAGGAGGCTGCTTGTTATCGCAACGGCTAAGGGGACAGCTTATACAAGCAGCAAGGCAGCTGGGAAACGAGGCGGTTGTTGAATCAATCCAGGGGAGAGAACTCCTGGCGGTTTTGGAGCATTATCTTCCTCCATTTTTGCTCTATGCGCCCAACTCGTCTTAGTGAGATGTCGTGTTAGGCCTTTGGGTTTTCAATCATCGTTTTCCCTTCCATATTTGCTGTATGTTGTAGAGAATAACAACGCTATAACTTATATAGCTGGGTTTAAGGTGGCAAAGTTATCGAGGTTTCTCTTTTTTTTTTTTCGGTTTCCGCATCTGATGTACATGTTAGTCTGTTATGTAAAACACAGAGAAACTAATTCTCAGAATGTGGAAAATATGATGTTTGTGTATAATAGATGGTATCATCTTTTTGAGGGCAATGCATCCGACTGCTAGCTCTTTGGTGGAAAATGCAGTTACTCGTTGCAGCCTTGCTGAAGCAAGCCAGCCTGCTGAAACAAGCGTTTGCTTGCTTCCATGTATTGTGAGCTCTCTCTCTCTCTCTCTCTCTCTCTCTCTCTCTCTCTCTCTCTCTCTCTTATATTAAGAAAAACAAGAACAACAATAGTGCGGGAGGATGAGGTTGGGGCTTTTATTTGGAAGCATGTCTAGGCTCTTTTTGCTTGTGTGTAGAAGGGTGTTCATGTCTGTCATTGTTTGCTGACTTGAAGTGAGATGAAAAGGGGGTCGTGTATGATATGCATGACTAAAATTGTAGATTCGGCAATGGGGTGATGATAAACTGAATTTATTGCATGGACCCATAGAAACTTTTTATCAAACTTTTTGAACAAACACAAATAAGATTTATCACAAAATTATAAAAAATTTCAATTAAACAATTAGATTTTAATTTATATATATATATAAAAGAAATTCATGTAATACTTGCACAAATTAATATTCATTACACAATATATCAATAAAAAAAAAACAAAAATAAATTAATTTTGACTAATTTAAATCAAAGAATATTGGTAAGTAAAAAGAAAAAAGAAAAAGTGATAAATAAACATTGTTACTTTTTAAAAACTTTTTTGAGATTCAAAAGAAAACTATACTACAGTATTAATATTGAAATATGCATATATTGGATCCGGAAAGAATGCTATGTATTCTTATAAACTAAAAATCAATACAACAATATACCAAGTAATATTTTGAGAAATTCAACTTTTATAGAGATTAAGAAAATCATAACTAATTAGTCTAATCCAGTCTAAATTTAAGAAAGCTAAAAAAGCACCCACACAGAAATTCATATTTACATACAAAATTTATATATAGAGAGGAACAAATAAAACTTTGAGATTAACCTGGATTGCAGTGTGTATAAAAATCACTTACATCGATGAGAAAGAAGTGATTCCTTAAGTCAAATCAATACATGTGTGCAATGAAATAAGGGATTTTTTTTTGTAAGTTGCATTGAAATAAGGGATTGTAAGAATATAATTTCTTTGTGTGTGAAACTTGTCTCTTTACACTCTTTTTCTCTTAAGAGAAAAAGGACAAACAAATTCAAGTGGGAAACAAGACAAAACAAAAAGTTCAAAAGTATGGATGAAAAGCATTAAATGGCAGTGTAAAAATAGGTAATTTAAAACAAAAATATAAAATGCCTTTCAAAGCAAAAAAAACACTCTTCAAAAATAAATTAACAAAAATAAGTCTCTTTATTTACCAAAGAAACAAAACAAAAATAACTTTTAAAAAAATAACAATTGAAAATTTAATAAAACAATAACTATGATAAAAAAAAAAAAAATTAATAAAATAAGAATTTAGATTCTTCAATCATTGATTTTTGTTGATATTCAAAACTTCAAATGAAAATTTTGTTTTAGATTTTGTAAAAATTAATTTCTTATAGAATTCTTATAAAAGCATTCTAATAAAAATAAATAAAAAGAAAAAAGATGTGATGGAAAGAATCATGTATGAGAAGGAATTTTAGGATAATGAAGTTATGGAAAGAATCGTGTATTAAATTGGAAGAATTTTAAGATAGTCACGTTATGGAAAAAACTGTATTTGAGTTGAAATTTTAAGATAGTCACTTTAAATATTTATGTGACCCAATTTTTATTGGGATTTTTTCATTTAGATTATATATAAACTATCTTTTATTAAATGATAATTAAAGAAAGGTTTTTTTTTCTCTTAGGGGGCAAGTATAGATTTTATACTATACATGCTATACTATTTTTATTTTTATCCATACTAAAAAAAATTAGTGGAGCCATGACAACCCTCAGGCCCCCTTCCTTCCGCCCCTGACCTAGTGTAAATTGTATGGAACAAGAGAACCACATGTACCTATTGAGAATTGTTCTAAGAGATCTCGTACTACTATTCTTTTTTTTTTAAAAAAAAGGAAAATAATTTTTTTATTTATTAATTTTTAAATAAAAATAAAATTTTCATTACAGAGATGAATATTTGGTTTCCTTATCACCATGGTCATTATCATCACGAAACCACCGGGACAGTGGGGGTGACCACCGTGACAGTGGGGGTGTGTGTGTGGGTGGGAAGACTGGAGGAGTACCAAATGTAGAGGGGTCGATGTCATTGTCTATACCATGGTTGATAATAAAGCTAAAAAGGACATATTCTGTGAATAATTATTAATACTAGTTCCCTTTTTAAAAATTATTTTCCAATTGACCACCCACATGATGTGCTTGTTTTCCCTCAACTTCATTGTCATATTAGTTCTCCTCAAAATAAAAATAATAATAAAAAAGAAATCATTTAAAGGCAACATATATTTTAGTTCTCCTCAAAATAAAAAATAAAAAAATTAATCATTTATAGGCAACGTATATATATTTTTGGAATAGGCAACATACACGATGCTCGAACTCTCCCACCGAAAATGAAAATGTTATTTCCTTGAATTATAGGTCATTTGGTGAAATTTAATAATATTTAATCAAAGACAATCTTAATTTTAAATGTGCACACCGATCTGATAGGATGCGTTTAGAAATATTTTGAAGCCAAACCGATTTTATTGAATTTATAAAAGTTAAAATTAAACCGACTGTTAAACCAATAAAACTAAACCAAATCGAACAGCTAGAGAATGGTTTGGTTTGTTGTTTGATTGAAAATTAAAATAAAATTTTATTATTTTATATATCATATATAATATTCTTATTATTTATAATAACGCTTAAATCACTTCATACCATGATTTACAAATGTAGTGTAAACCGATCAAACTGACCTATACATAATAATATCATACCTTTAAAAAAAATTGCCAACCAATCAATACGACAAACCGTGAACTTGGTCTTTTACCATTTTAGTCATGCGCATAAGTTGGAAAAGTGTGATCGTTGCCTTGACAACTTATATCAAACAAACCGCGGTTTCCATGTATGTATTTGAAAGTTGAAGTGAATGAAGTATGGTCAAACCTCGTGAAAGTAAATTAAATAATCCTTCACAAATTAAACATGAAACACAAGTTGAAGAGCCATTGAACCTACTTCAAAGCTTTCCAATAACTTTTTTTAAAAAAATGAGGATTTGTCGTCCCCCATATGCCTAATTGGCAGTCTTAAAAGAAAAAAAACAAAAAGTTGAACCGACGAGAAGCTAGACAACTTTGACATATTCGCATCAAAAAAATTTAGGCAGATTCTTTGTCTCTTCCTGTCTTTCACTCTACTCCACAATGATTCTAATTCCCTTTCCTCAAGCCACGAAATTTAAGCCAAGTTGGTTAGGTGTCTCTCTTGTCCCACTTCACCTTATTCCGTGTTCACAGCATTCATCGCTTATACAATAATTTTACATTAATTATATAATAATTTTACATTGTTTATATTATGATTCGTTGTATCAATCGATACGCAATCGACTTTTATTCGTAACCCTTTTTCAAGGTCTGATACCGATACACACGTTCATAAACCGACCGATTTAGATCGGTATTTGCCTGAAGTCGTTACACTGCAATTGCGGCCGTTATCGCAACCGATACTGCAAATGCGAATTATGATTTACACAACAACTTCATATATATATATATATATATATATATATATATATATATATGTATGTTATATATATTAGGATTCAATGTGTTGCACTCATGGTTTGCAGTATCGGTCACGATCGCGGTGTAACGGACTCGGACAAAGTCAGTATAAACTGACCGATACGAATCCCATATCGAACTTGAAAAGAGTCGAACCGATATGTTCCGATACGGCGAACCATGGTTACACTATGACGTAGCGTGTTGCACTAACAATCTACAAGGAGAATAAGACCAAGAAACTTAGACCATCAAATTTCAATTGAAGGATGGCTTTGAATTTTCATGTTTGAATGCAACTGCACAAAATTAACGAGTACAAATATTGTAAATGCTAGAAAATTAACTCAAATTATGTTTGGTAGCATAGATTTGGCGTTTTAGAATTATTATTATTATTATTTTCTCAATTTTAATATTAATGTACCAATTTGAAGCTACAAATTTCAGAACTTCAAAGTAATGACAGGAGAATGGAATTTTAAAACTTTATTAACTCCCTCTTCACTGACGTCGGTGCCTTTTAGTTTCCGCGCACTTCAAATATACATCACCCCTCTCGCAACTATATCAAATGTATGTTACTTATTTGAGACTTCTATGCAAAGTTAGACCGAGCACTTTGAGTTGTTCAATTCTTGATCAGAGCAGTCTTAGACCAAGCACAACTCTTTTAGTTTTTCAATCATTTGACCAAACAGAATTCTTAAGTTGATAATGATGATATTTTATTTTCCTCCTTTATGGCAGGGAGGAAGCATGAAAGGAGGAGAAGGGGAGAAGGATAATTTTTTTTTTGTTTTTTTGTTTTTTTTTTTGAGGATGGTGGTGTTCGGCCTCTTCAAGTATTTCGAAATTCACCACCAGCCACATGCAGTTCCAATTCCTTTTTTCAGAATCCGCCATATACATTATTTCCACAAATGGGATGAGAGGAAAAGGGAAACTTATTTTCTCATTTCTCTTGCAATTTCATTTTTCACTTTAATTAAATTTTAATTTCTTTTCAAAAATGTGAATTTTTATTTTATTTTATTTTATGGTAAGAATGTTAAAAGTTAGTGGTTTGAAGATAGAAGGAGGGTGTAAGGTTTGAACATGGACTCTCAGACACAAAGAGTAACTTGATCACTCGAACAACACGACACTTGCTTAAAAAATGAGATAATTTTCTAGCAAATGGGATGTGAGGATAATGGAAAAATATTTTCTCAATTTTTTTTTTACAATTTCATTTTTAACTTCTATGCAAGTAATTTGGCGGATACATTTTTCATCCCACTTACCTTTCCCCTTAAATTTTCAATCTTTGCACCTAACAGTGGGGGGATCACCTTCCACCAACTTTCTACACACCAGTCATCCCAATACCCAAAATTTCAAGCTTGAATAATTACTGTTTAGCCCAAACAATCCCAAATTCAAAACACCAACTTATTCAAAAATCACATAACTAACAACTTAAATGAGCACCACAAATTCCTTGCATCAAATCAATTTAAAGTAAACTAAGCTTAGAGAACCATGTTTTTGAAATATGATTCTCTGATTTGAAATAAACTAATGCTATGTTTGGAAGCACTAATCAGCTCGCTAAATTTGAAATTAGATAAAATTTAATTTGGGAGCAGCATTGAGTCGACCCCTTGGTTTTGAAACTGGATCCTTCAATTTCAAATCCAATGCATGTATATCTAGTTCCAAATCTAATGTGCCGATTTCAAATCCAATGCATGGATCTAGTTCCAAATCTAATGTGCAGATTCGGAGTTCCCAAACGTAACATAAACCTAAACAACCTTGTTTTGGAAATAGATTTGGCAGTAAGCTTGATATTTCCTGGTTGCTACATCTGAAATACAGTCAAAGTATGGCTATGGAAGACAAAAGACAAAGAAGATGAAAGAAAATTGAACACAGAGAAGCTTTTAGAACAATGAAGTAAACTGCTCAGGAAGATATCTCATCTTCTTTCTCAAAGTACTACAGAACAATACTGGTGTTAAACTGAACTATAAAAAACGAAATAATCATAAGTTTATAAATTTCTGAACACTTGAGTTAACAAAAACTTGTATACATGACAGGAATTAAAGCAATTTTACACATATGTTTGAGAAATATCCCGGACATTAGAAGGCATGAAAGCCAAGATCAGAAGCAGAGCCAGTATCCCAATCGGAAGCAGTAGCAGCATGAAAGGTGGGGGCGGCAACGGTGGCAGTATCAGCGGCAAGATCAGCAACGACGTCGCGAGACAGATGAGCAGAAGCAATGACTCCATGCTGAAATAGCTAGTCGGAAACATCCTTCTGTTGTTGTTCCCTTGCGAGTAAGACCGCCCGAACTCCATTTTCTTTCCTTCAACCAATGGAGCAGTGCTCTTGTAAAGAAAATGAGTATTGTTCTTGTTTGTTCTCATATCCATCACACCACCACCGGGACGACGATACTGCATTTTAATCAAACCCTTTGGCAGTTTCACTTCTGTTTCAGAAAGTTCTGTTTACTTCCAAGATTTAAAAAAAACACACAGGCTTGAATACTTTCGGCTTGATCCAAATTCGGAACTAGACTTACCCTCACTAGTTCCGCCACAATGTAAAACAAATCCCGTAGATTCAATACCAATCCGAAAACTCTTTCACGGATTCACAAAGTTGTGAACTTTGAAATTGTTTTAAGCTTTCAAAATTTAGTGCCCAATTATTATGTATTAACACAGGGAAAGTAGATATGCCAAACAACCAATTCAGATCAGTTTGTGCTTACAAAAGGTTGCAAATGTATAGCCTAAAGTTTTAGTTTCCAGGAATGTGAACCACCTCCAATGTCATCCAAGATTGTAATCACAAATTCAGGTTGATCTCATATCCATTACACTTGATGTGTCATCTCCAACTGTAATTTTCAAAGCAATTTGGGAAAGATCAGACTCAAATCAAGTTACAAAAAACCTAAATTGCATTTAAATCAAATGAATAATTAATGAATATTTATAGATGGCCAATCATACATGTTTTGAACCAAAAAAAAAAAAACACAAGAGGGATCACATTAACCATGATATCAGATTCAAGTTGCCGATTCTCAAAACAAATTTACCATATGAAGAATCACAATCGCCAAATAAATACATACAATGAAATTATTATGGTACCCAAAAAAAAAAAAAAAAAAAAAAAACCCACCCTAACTAGAGGGCACAATAACAAAATATGATTTCTTGAAGAGTAAATTCTTCCAATTAAAGAGAAAAAAAAAAAAAAAAAGTTACCCAGATAATGAATTTATGTTACCTAATAAGGAAATGAAAAATAACAAGAGAATAGCCAATGATCAGTTAAAACTGTTGATACCTGTGATGATGTTGATGTGAATGTTGGTGGCGGATTTGGGATGAAGATTTCCAAATGAGGCAACAGTATACAGAGGACCCTTTTAGCATTTCCTCCCAAATACTCTCTCCTCTCTCTCTCTACCCAAACACTTGCTTCTCTCTCTTACAAATCTTTGGGATTGACAAAGTAGCAGAATGAACTCATAAACCAATAAATATGAGAATTGGGTGTGAATGGTTGAGGGAATTAAAAAGGAATTGGGTGAAGGGGAGGAAAGGAAGTGAAGAGGTTGAAAAGGAAATGAGTGAGAGATGCGTGTGGATTAAGAGATTTGATATTCCGGGTTGGTTTTCCTCTTTTGAGAGAGGGTAGGGTTAGATATGGAGAGATTTTGGTTGTTCCACTGCATTTGTATTACATCCACATTGCATGTACCACAGGGGATGAGAGAGAAAGAGAGAGAGAGGAGAGAGAGGGGGAGGGGTTGGGGTTGGATTCAGTGAATTTCAAAACGGAGTGGGGGCTGCTGACGTGCAGGTTGATGTTTTTTGAAAAACAAAGGAGGGGTGTCTCCCAAGGTTCCTCACCCCTGGACCCCCTGCTTTTCTCTCTCTACTTTCTCTCTCTAGATTGGACTTGACAGCAATGGATTCATTGTTTTACTGTTTGCTAAGGCAGTCTTCTGTTGAATAATTAGATTAGGATAAAATTTTACTACCAATTCCAAGAAAGACTCCCATCGCCAAACAAAGAGATTTGACATGGTTTTTCTTCGTATAATGATGAAGAATAGATATAATTATGAATAGGGGTGTTATTTGGACCAATTAATTACTACCTCCGTTTCAATAAAAATATCGTTAACGAAAAATCGTGTCAGTTCAATTTATAAACGTTATGATTTACACTTTTAATAAGATGAAGGGAATAACATTTAACTAATTTTATAAATATGAGTTTTTATTTTATTTTATAATATATATATATATATATATATATATATATATATATATATATATTCAAAAAAAAAAAAAATCAACAAGGGTATAATTTGAACTGATCAATTAACCTTTAACTCAATTTTATGGATAAGATTTTTTTTTTTTTTCGAATGAAGAAAGAAATCTTTATATACTCATGAATAGGGTTCTAATTTGGACTGATCGATTAACATTTAACTCAATTTTACGGTTACAATTTTTTTCTTCTTCTTATTTTTTTAGTTCAAGTTAATTTGAAAAGTCTCCAAATCAAATTTAATTTGACTGAGTCTAAGTTATGACAAATCAAGCATGACTCAAGTTTTAACTCGAATTGTAATTTAATTTATACTTATACTTGATATAGAGTGTATATATTCATGTTTTCATAAACTTTTTTATCTATTTCATTTGGTACGCCTGGTCGCTTCTTGTGGAATTTCATGACCCTGTTGTGCAAAAAATGGGATATGCGCGTTAATAGTAATTTATTGTAAATTCATCCTTTGAAAATTATATTTTTTTGAGGGAAGTTAAGATTTTTATTTATTTATTTATAAATGTATAGTCATTTTTAAAAAAAAATTCTTGTGTTGAGATTTAGAACTTTTTTATGATCAGTAGAAATCGATAAATGAGATTAAGTGATGTTCTTAAAACACTAAAAAAAACATACTAAGACCGTTGAGAAGCTTGAATTGAATGGAGTTTTTATAGTCTAAATTGACCCTCGCCGGGTCTAATATGACTGGGTTAGCCATTAACATTGAATCAATCTTTTGTGTCTTCTCTCTCATATTTTAAACACAAAGTACTATTGCAAAAGGAGGAATTATTGGGTATGAATTATGTTCCACAATCAACATCCAAAAGAGATTTTAACCTAGAAATTATGTCTCTATATAAAAATCATTATCCATGACATAAATTAGAGAAAATTTAAGTTATTTTTGGCAGCATGAAATTAGAAATTTAAAATTAAAATAAGTGAAATTGAAAAAAAATAACTCATAAAATTAAACTAATTTTTTTATTCATTTTATTTTTATCAATTTCAGTTCTAAAATTTTAATTCTAAGCAGCCAAATATAATCCTAATATATTTAATCCATAATTGAGAAATTCTCCTACTAGTGAGAAAAAGGAGTTGCTTTATTATCCAAATTTCAACAAAAACACACTCATCGAAATTACACAGCAATCCACATACCAGCCTTTGATCTAACTTATTTTCTACCTTTCAAAAAAAAAAAAAAATTACTCCCTCCGTCCCTTATTAATTGTCTATTTTTGATTTTATAACTTTTTAAAGGGACATGCAATTAATGCGTTGTCCTCTTTTCAAATTACTATGTTATCCTTTAAATTTTAAATACATAGAATACCAAGTTGTTAGATTTTTAAAAAATTAAAAGGGTAATTATAAAAAGATGGCATTTATTTTGTTTGACTTTTCAAAATGGACGTTTGATTTGGGACACTCTAAAAAGAAAAAATGGACTACTAATGTAGGACAGATGGAGCATTTTCTAAGATATATATATATATATATATAAAGAATTTAATCAAAACTCATTCAGTATTTAAATCTTACGATTAGAAACAATATTGTAGGTCTGTGTGAATTTTTTAAAAAAGTTGGGAATTTTTTAATTTAACTTAATTAAATTATTATTATTATTATTATGATTTTTAGATGTAAAAAGAAAACAGTGGGCGGAAACCGCTACGCACCTAGAATTATGGCGTTAGCATCACAACATCTTGTCCAGCCCAAAAAGGCATCGCATTTGGTAATAATTCGTTACGCCGAATGGACAAACAGAGAGTCATTGACCCAGCAACGCTTATTAGAGAGACAAACTCTAAAAAAGGGATATAATCCAATAAAACCAAACAAACACGTCCACGTGATCATCATATGAAGATGCAAAGAGGGACAGACCCACCATCATTAACAGCCCACACACACCCACATGAAATTGACCGAATAATAAAACACCACCACAACCGCATTAGATTACAATAAGATGAACATGGACAAACACAGAGTGATCCACTGATCCAGAATTCAGATGAACATATATAATATCAGTATGGCCTGTATATACATCATGAACCAGATTAAGGTATATATATATATATATATATATATTGCAGTCGGTTAACTTAAATTTAAAGTACAAAATCATGTTTACAAGGGAGTGCACAAAACACTTTTGTGTGTAGTTGAATTTGGATGCGAGACTGTAAAGTACTGCTATAGATTTATAAATTAAAAAGTGAGTGTGGGCGGCGTTCTGATTCTATGTTTTTTTTTTTTTTGGCTAAAAGCCCGACTCTTATGAGATTGACCTAGATTTTTAGGAGTTAAAAAAAAGGGAAGTTGCTTAGTTTCAAAAAATTAAAATAATAAAGTGAGGACAGACTGTCTTACATTTCCCACGCAAGGGATTGTGTGCGACTAAATGAATTGTTTGTCTTGACTTAAATGGAAATGAGTGGATCTGTGGTGAAAGTTCATGATTCATTCATATTTGGATAACCCAAAAATAAAATAAAAAACAAATTATTTATTTATTTTTAATCACTGAGAAAACACCAAGGCTCACATACATTATTTTTGTTTATATCCGGACTCGAACTCCTCTCTTCTCTTATTTGAGAATGAGAAAGTTATACTATTATTCTACGATTCGCCGTATCGTTCGATACGCGACTCTTTTTTAAATTCGGTACGCGATCCGTATCGGCTAGTTTACACTGATTTTGTCCGAATCCGTTATACTGTGATTGATACATTGAATCAATCCATACCCTACAATTATTTGGATATATAATTGTAAATAGAATCCTATATTATATGAAATCTGTATTTGATACCAACCCATATAAAATGAACTCAATTTGAATTGAAACTAATAAAAATCATTCCATTTTGTGCACAACTATATCTCAATACAAGACATCTTGGAAAAGTATATGGATATCCAATCCTACTTGAAATATGAATATAAAATTATGGTCCAAACTTGGTGAAATGAACTTTGAATGGGATCTCAGTTAAAGCCATTCCATGCCCTAGTCATTTTGACTCACTTCAATACATGTATTTGCATCTAATGCCATGTGATTGCATCTTATATTGAGTGGATTCATTGGCCATGACAAGATTTTTTTATTTTATTTATTTATTTCTGACAAGAAATACACTTACACATTCACTTATTTCTATACGATTTGAATTTTCGATTTTTTATTTTGAAAGACGAAAAAGTATCACTAAGTTATATAAGTTATACTAATATTTAGTTTGTATAACAAGATTCAATCATTGTAGGTTGAAAACATAATAGCAAAAAAAACCAATAAAATAAAAAATCTTCTTAATGTGCCAACTTCACGTCTTTGGTTTCTATGCATCTTTCTCAGCATTGAAGCAACGATTTGTAACGTTTTAAATTAAAAACTTTTGAAGATGTTCGGTGTATCAAATTATGATTCACCGCATTGACCGGTTGGTAATCCTTTTTTAAATATCTAATACCGTTACACATCTCCATTAACGAGTGGGTTTGGCCATTAACGGTGGCGATCGACACCTCTGTATGATGGGCCCCACCTTAATAGTGACAATGACTAATACAAGTTCAATAGTAGTATACTTGCATTTCGTATTTCTTTCGAAGTTAAGGTCCAACAACATTGTTTGAGGCAAATATCCAATAGCAGTGCCCTTTTAAGGCCAATAACTACCCCTCCTAGTGATTGGAGGATAGGATTGCAGAACAACACTACTACAGCCTAGCTTGCCCTTGATGATTAGGGAAGAATCAGAATAAAGATTTGATGATCTTCCTACAACCACCATGTAGTTATTCGAATTTGATCTCTTGATCCTTTGTGCCAGGAATTGTTTACTCATATATATAATCAGTTTTCTAGGGTTCCACTGTTCCCAATAATGATCTTGCTGCATCCACCTAGTATTTTACCATTTCTAATTTTGAGATGATTCACTTCATTCCAAGAAAATTACATTGGTGCAAAGTGCCATTGACTGTCTATTCAAGAAAAAAATTATGTATCAGGATAAGGAATTAAGTGGCTATTGAGCATTCCACGGCTGCAAATGGCTCGACAACGACTTCAGCTATTGACTCAATCAACAATATCAATAACAAGAATTAAAAGCGGAGAATATATACAATGTGCCCAATAAATCGTGTACTGCGCACATCGTAAGTTCATAATTGTTCGTGTCGGCGTGTGTTATACATAGATGTGCCAGTATATTGGGCACACCAAATACCTGAAAGTGTGATTGTCATTATACAATTCCCAATTAAAAAGGATAAATCATTTGCCAACCAAAGAAATTTTTTTTTTATTTAAAAAACAAATTCTCAGGTAATTCTCAAGAATTAACTCAAATGGGTAAAAACTTAACTTCAAGTTATATCAAGTTTAAGGAAAATAAATGAGCATTCAATTGCTCCTTTTGCATATATATACATTTCTACTGGTTACTTGTCTAGTTCTATTTTTTTTTTTAAGAACTAAAATATGTGATGACATTAAAACAAGTGCTTTTTATTCCAAAAGTTTTGGAGTCAATCAACTTGTAGCAAAATCTAAATAAAAAACTACTCGCAACACAAATGTTCTATATAAATTCCTAAAATTTCAAACATTCCATTCCAACCATTAATAGTTCTATATAGGCCGACTAATTCCTTAGCTTGAGTTATATATATTCCTCCACCTTTTGAGGGTTGAGGGTTCAAACCTCAATAGTCACACGTGTGCGAGTAAATTTACCAATTAAAGAAAAAATATGAAAAAATACACTCAATTGAAAATTAAAACAAGGTCAAACAAGCACTTACCATCATAATAGAGCACTACTTTCCATACATTTCTTAGGTTTTCTTGACTCCGTTTTTTCTCAGAAAAACTGTAAGATCGGCAAAGAAAGGTCCCGGGCAATTGACATAGAAACAAACAGTCCAATGGAGACTGGTAAATATTATATACATAGAACAACAGTTCAAAGTCTTAAAAAAGTCACTCTGCAAGCAAAGACAAGTGCCAATTTGTGATATCAACCACAATAATACACAAACATAAATATAGTGCCAATCGAATCTCGCTCGTCTACTAGTAGTAACACACACAAGCTACCCATATCAACCACTCCTTCAAGCCATTTCTCTAATCCTGCATAAAGGAAAGTGGAAATTTTAAAATATAATGTGCAGAACAAGAATAATAATTTTGAAATATACCTTAAGTTCTTCAATTTGAACACATCAATCAGGTTTGGTAATACCTACACACCAATATATATATATATATATAATAAAAAAACAACAGGATCCTATTTTCATATTATGTCATTTCCTATTTAAATCAGATTAATCCAACTTCACTATACCTATAGAAAAAATTAATCAGACTGTGTATAACTAGTATATCAAATTCACCAGGTGCTTTCAATTGGAATACATGGGATTCTTACAATATTAATCTTTGAACGGGGTGTGACTTAAACCATGGGATGCTACAAGTAGAATACTCAAGTCTAGAAACTGCATCAAACCATAGGATGCTCCGAGTAGAATAGTTATTTCTAGCAACTACATACACAAAGGTATAATTTATGTATTGAATTAATACCTCTCGTTTATAGTGATTAAACTTTGTTCGAATAATCATGTGGCTCTGCCTAAAAGCTCGAGGGTATTCTTTTATCTGGAGCTTGAGCACTCCACCTCACATTTTCACATTGATTGTTAACCCATTAATGTCTACAATGGCATTTCCTAGATTTGATTTATTCATAGAATTAGATAACTATCAGAACCTTTCCACAGATCCACAGATAATTTTCTTGCACACAACAAAGGCAAGCATATTGTTATAATACTATAGGAATATAAATGAACTTCTAATACTATAATTCAGAATTTTAAATTCTTCTCTTGCTGCTAGACTTAATACATAAGACAAAAAACATGCATCTGATATTTCCTTCTACCACCCTATCTAATTAGTGTCATTTGTACATAGTTCAGCAAGGCATCACAAGTATCACCGTTCCTGTTAAAGTTGTCAATTAAATTGTCATATGCGCTTTTCTTCCTATGGTGCATGAGGCATATAATCTCGCATTTCTTTAACACTTCTGCAAAAACCATTATGTCTAATTTTTTTACTGCAGCCTCACCTTCCAGTTTGATAATTACTGATCATTCATTACCAGAAATTTTAACAGAAAGGGGAAAAGAAAAAGAAAATTGAGATCACCCAACATTCTAGCCTACTGAATTGTCATTGATTATGCATGTTCAAGAACTTTAAACCATCTGACTTCATTCTAAAGTATGTGCAGAACAGCCAGCATTAATATACACAAGAATAAATTTGAATTTGATTTCTCACCAGTGTCACCACCATGCAAGGGAAGGGAGGCGGAACCTTTTCACATAGAACATATTAAGTTTTTATTAAGATTTCCTATCTTTCACAACGAATAAGATGAGTGGGTTTCTATATCTTACCGATCACTACATAAACATTTCTATAAAAATAAAAATAAAATATCAGTTTACCTCATCATCATCATCATCATCATCATCATCATCATCGCCCCTGTCTTCCTTCTTCTTCTTAAGGCGGGTTGTGCCACCCTCCTTACTGATGGGTAACTTCATCGCTCCAAAGGGTGTGTCCACATCAATGTGTCCTATCATGGAGTAGCCAGTACCTTTCCCTCGAATCATGTCCCAAAGAGCAGAGCCAAAGTCCCTCGGCCTGAAGGTGATAGGAATATCGATGTAACTTATTCCTTTTTTAACCAATTTTTCGGACTTGGAGATTTCTGCACTTCCAATGCTCATTCCAGATAGCCAAACCTCATAGTCCAGTGCATTGAGACCCAAGTCAAAATCATTCATGTTTTCCAGTTTCACATGAAGATTTGCAACAGTTTCTTCAAAAGAGAATCTCTCAAATTTTATTTTTTCAACATCAATATCAGGCTTCTGCGGTATGGGGATCTCTCCAGTTTTCTCAAGTGGCAGAGTTAACCTACCAAAGACAGGCACATCCACTAGGAGATCAACCTTGATTCTATAAGGAATGATGCTTCCAGGCTTTATATCATCATATGTGCTTTTTATGTCATCATATATCAAGGTAAATGGTACCTTGACAGTCTCTGAACCATGTGCATGGATTGTCCCGGCATCAGGGATCAACCCTGAAACTAGTTTCCTTCCATCACTCTCAATTAAGTAGTTTATGTCAACGAGTGGTATTGGAATGGGATTTGGGTTTTTGACAAGCATATCAATAACTATGTCTGCCTTGTCAAGATTAATGAATGGAATGTGAATTTCTGTGACATCCGCAGTTGGCTTCCCAAATCCAATAGTTTCCTCAATCTTCTCCCCAATATCATGAATGAAATCCTTTACCTTTTCAATAAATCCATCCTTCCCTTCATCGTTGTCATCTTCTTTGTGTTCCTTCTCCTTAACCTCCCTTTCAACTATCTCTGGCTTATCAGACGATGCCATACCTTTATATTCAAGATGTTAAAAGAACAATTCAGTCGAATAACAAGGATTTTATAAATCAAATTAAAATAAAAAATGATTGACACAAGAAAGAATAGACTGCAAGTAATGAATACTATACTAGTGCACTATAACTTAGATATTACAGACATAACGTCAAACAACCTTTCTATTTACACAGTCCCTCGTAGTTCAATAATAAATACGATATATTCATAAATATAAATATGATATATTCATAAAAGTATTGCTAAGTAAGGATTAAGTCCACTTTTGTGCTAGCCAGAACTTGTTAGTTCCTTGCTGATTTTTTTTTTTCACCCCTTGTTTTTGTTGGATTTAACTAGTCCTCTCTTTCAAAAAATGGAAGAGCATTGGACCCTCACAAGGTAAGGCAAAAGGCTCAAAGAATTGAGGCACAAGCTTTTTGAATGTTGAATTCTTTATACAAAAATAACTAGATATTGATAGTAGATTAAAAATCTTTAAAAGGATAAAGCACGAGGCAAGTGATATTTCTTCCCCTAGGGTGGAGATGGAAACCTCAAGATATTCATCACAAGCCCTTAGGATTTATAGTTTTACATTCAGAATGTGGATAGAAGTGGCGATCAAAATGCATTAGTCCCCAAGCAAAAAAATTAAAAAATAAATAGCCCTATAGATTTTTTGTTTAGAAACAAGAGTAGCATATAATCTTAGTTGAGCAAAGAAAATCACTAATGATTATTTTATGTGAAGATTTGTTCATAGAAAGAGCAAAATAAATGGTTCGCTCAATTCGCATACTTTAATTTTCACTTGCCAAGCCCCAAAATTATTTTCTTCCTAACCAAACAGAGTTTATAGAAACAAAAAAGAGATGTTTGAGTTGGAACCCTAGCGGAGTAGCACAAGGTTAACTTGAGAAGTAACGCCATCAGATGCCATCAATGGAAGCAATGTGTAAATATAGGGTAAAGTGCAAAAAACCCCTTAACTATGTTTGAATTTGCAAATAACCCACTTGAACTATATTTTGTGTATAAAACCCCCTAAACTATCTCATTTTGTTGCAACATACCCCAAGGACTATACTAGATTTCATTAAATGACCATAATGCCCCTTCTTATTGAATTACATTTAATATATTTTTCTTATCTAAATAAATTATGAAAAAATTCATACTAATTTGATGAGATATTTTCCATTAAATTTGCATAAATTTACCTTTATTTTTTTAATTAATTATTTAAATAAAAATTTTAGTACAAATTTTTTAAAAATAATAATTAATTTTTTAATTTTTAAGGAATATATTATGTGAAAAGAAGGTATTTTTTTCAAAAGTATTTTATTAAATTTTCATCAATATATTGTATGAAAAAAATGATAATTTTTTACGATAAAAATGTTTAAATTAGTTATAATACATTTTATTATAAATAACAAAGTTTTAATAATAAGTTAATCAATTTAGAAAATGGTAGTAATAAATCTATTTATCTATTTTTTTTTTTCATTTTTATGATAAATTGATATTAAAAATAAAATTAAGGTAAATAGTATAATTAATATTTACATAAGAGAAAAGATAATAAAATAATTTAATAAGAAATGAAAATTTTAATGGAAAAGGATAAAATAGTCTTTTGTAATAAATTTGTCTTCAATTGTAACAAATCAATAGTTCCGGGGCGGATTTTAGTTTAGGGTAATTTGCAAAAGGTAATAGTTTAGGAGTTTTTTTTTGCACTTAACGCCTAAATATATCTACTCAATTGTAATCAAAATGCATTAATCGCACACAAGTTCATTACATCAAATCAAATTAAACTTCAAGACTAAGTAGATCTGTGAACTTCACTGTTCATGAGCTACTCAATTGCATAGAGAGAGAATGGATTTCAGATCAATTATGATATATATACACTTTAAACTGACTTGATTAAAAGGAACGATCAAAGCACTTAAAATCTGATTTCAACATGTAAAAAACAGATGAAAATACTTTCAAAAAAAAAAAAACTGGAAACAGATAGATCTAAATTCAGATCCAATTACCATTAAGTAGTAGGTGAAATGCGATCCAGATCTGTTACAGAGAGAGATTCGAACTGATAGATCTTACCAATATATATGTAATGTATTCAAAATTAAAGAAAAAAATTGGTATAAATTCAGCACAACACTGAAAGAGTACACAGACTAACCATATAATCAGATCAAACAGAAAATAAAAAGAAAAAATTGTTACCTGAGAACCGAGAAGTGAAATGGTAGACGAGAGTAGAATTGAATTATGGATTTTGATTCGTGTTTGTGGTTGTGAGAGCGAGTTTTTTTATGCAGAGAGACAGCGAGGAGGCCCATTCGCAATTATTTCCAGTGGACACGTGGCAGTGTCTTATTTATGTTGACTTATGTAATCATTAAATTTATTTATAATATTTGCCCGATGTATGATTAGATTTATTTATAATTATTATGTTGTCAGGCCAAACCTCTCGTATCAATATAAATATAACATAAAATACTATATATAAGATTAAAATTATAAATATAAATATATAACATTAAATAATATCTAATTATATATTACATTAAAAATTATATATAAATTATAACTAATATTATATAATTATAAATAATAACATTAAATACCATAATATAAATATATAATTACAAATAATATTATTTTATATAACATTAAAAATTACATTTCAAACAAAATATAATTATACATAACATTAAATTTAGCATTTTTTATTTTGAAGTGTTGCTTATTTGCAAACCTCAATTTAAAATAGTTACATAAATGATGTAAACTTATTAGGTATTCAATTCCTTGCATTTACTCTCTCGATTTAAAATAGATGGCTGATTTAGTTGGTTATTGAAAATATATAATGTGATTGTAATGATCTATTAGTGAACGTCATTTATAATTATATTTTGTATTTAATATAATTTTTAATGTTAATATAAATTAATATTATATAAATAATAGTGTATAATATTATTATCTATAATTATTTAATTTAATTTAATTACATAATATTTATATAACGAGGCTCCAAAGGGGATCCGGATTACATACTGAACTATAAATCTCAAAAAATATAAATATATAACATTAAATAATATCTAATTATATATTACATTAAAAATTATATATAAATTATAACTAATATTATATAATTATAAATAATAACATTAAATACCATAATATAAATATATAATTACAAATAATATTATTTTATATAACATTAAAAATTACATTTCAAACAAAATATAATTATACATAACATTAAATTTAGCATTTTTTTATTTTGAAGTGTTGCTTATTTGCAAACCTCAATTTAAAATAGTTACATAAATGATGTAAACTTCTTACGTATTCAATTCCTTGCATTTACTCTCTCGATTTAAAATAGATGGCTGATTTAGTTGGTTATTGAAAATATATAATGTGATTGTAATGATCTATTAGTGAACGTCATTTATAATTATATTTTGTATTTAATATAATTTTTAATGTTAATATAAATTAATATTATATAAATAATAGTGTATAATATTATTATCTATAATTATTTAATTTAATTTAATTACATAATATTTATATAACGAGGCTCCAAAGGGGATCCGGATTACATACTGAACTATAAATCTCAAAAAATTCAATTACAATTACGCATTGACAGAGACCTAGACATCCACAATAGGCTTCAATATAAGCTTTCCTAATCCACAATTTTCCACACCAAGAGCTGATAATACCTCTTCACCTTCTAAAATAAAAGGTAGAAGTTTCAAATCAAAGAAGAATAAAATAACCTAATGATTTGAAATGAATCTGTAATCCGAATCAGCATCTTATCCTTAGGGCTTAATTCCGAATCTATAGTAGAAAAAAAATGAAGAGTTCGTGTACATTATAATGAAGTTATTTAATTATTATATTTCTTTGAATCATATTATTTGATTCAAGAATAATAATTTCGTACTCCAAATAAATTTTCATGATTCAATTTTAAAATTTTCAATTCGCGATTTCTAAAACTAGTGAAATCAGAAGGTCACTTTCACTTCACAATTTATATTTAGATATGTTTTTATAGTTGATTCGACGCTAAGATCTTTTTTTATCTTAGATTTGTTTCATCACCATTCCTAAGTGCAATTGGAGCTAATTGAGTGAGTTTGGACGGATCAAGGATCAGCCCTAATTAACTAGGTCAAGTCCTATCATAATCGAGTTGATTGAATTGGCCGAGTTAGTATCAAATTAAACTAAATATATTTTGTACAACCGATTACTTTTTGCCTATAAATAACCTTGTACTGTACACACACACACACACACACACACACACACACACGTGTGAGTGACTTGCCACGGGAAATAAAAAAAGGATAAGTGCAAAAAACATTTTAAAGTATACTTCACATAACACTTTTATTCCTATTTGAAAAAGTGTGTAAAAAATGCCCCTAATTTTTTACATTGTGCAAAAATACCCCATCTGACATAAATTAGTGTTGTAATACTCGTTTTGCCCTTTTACTCTCCTGAAAATATCCAAGGGGGTATATTTGTCACTAATCTTATAATATAGGGATGTTATGTGCACATTACCTTATATATATGTTTTTTTGAAACTTTTTTCTTTATATATCTCTAAACATTTTTTTTTTTTTTTTAAAACTTTGAGAATTTGTAAAACAAGATTTTGAATTTTTTGAGATTCCAATTTACTCTGTCTTACTAAAGTTTTTATTTATTTATTTTTTTTTCATTTAAACAAAAAATAATAATAAAAAACTAAAAATTCCCAATATTAGTGTGCACTAGTTTTCAAAGTTTGAGAAAAATTTGTTTTCTTTAGTTTGCACTTTATTTTTGTTTTTTATTCTCTAGTTTTATCTTTACTTTTATTTTATACTTTATTTTTATTTTATAATTTTCTCGTTACTTATCCATTACCGGCATCCTCCAATAGTGTCATTTTTGGTCATTTTATAAAATTATTTATTTTATATATTTTATAAAATAGTTCAATAAGAGTAATTTAGTCAACTTAGTGTTTAAATTTGTTAGAGAGGACTTATTTACACCAGATCGAAACTTTAGAGGTGTTTTTAGCACGATAAGGGCATTTTCCAATAGTGTTCTTTTCGATTATTTTACAAAATTATTTATTTTTATATATTTTATAAAATGGTTTAGTAAGGGTAATTTAGTCAATTTAGAATTTAAATTTATTAGGGGAACTTATTTGCACTAAATTAAAATTTTAAGGATATTTTTTCCACGCAAGGAGCATACTTAAGAGTATTTTTTGTACTTTACCCAAATAAAAAACACACACATATCAAGCATGTAAAATTACCATCCTTCGATCCATAACAAAACAAAAATGGTACTACATAATGTTGGGTCTTAATTAAATTAATTCATTAGAAATCAAGAATAATCATAAATTCAAAGAGAGATGTTTTTGATATCATACCTGATTAGAAGATTAAACTTTTAATACCTTTGAGAATTCTTTAGTGCCCTTTGAGAGATCTAAAAAATTAGAGCGCTTGACTCCCTTCTGAGAGTTGTTGATATGATATGGCTGAATAAGGGTTTTAAAATCCTTATATATAACAACAACAGGGGGGACGGCTTCTCTACAAACAAGCATACCTAAGTTTCCCTTCCTATCAAGGAAACTTAAATAATAATGGTTAAAATTAAATCACACCAAATAAGTTGGAAAACCACAATCGGTATAAAAAACATACTCCCAATTAGACCACCAAATTGGAAAGTATAACCTAATCCATCAAGTATCAATAATCTTATTGCAATACTACTTTAGAAAACGTAGTGTATAAGACCATAAAATAATTTTTATTATTTAAATATATATATATATAAATTCCAACACATAAAACTTGTGTTCAGAAATTGGATATGCGTAAATAAAGAAACAGAAAATTTAATTACAAAGTGCATGTGTTAGACAGAGAACTGGACATCCATACATATACATACATATATATATACATATACATATATATATATATATATATAACAATCATAATAGATCCAATCATGTAAATCTATTTCAATTTTGAGTAATGATAGAAATTTGAAAATGAGACGGATATAATTAAATTTATGTGAATATGGAAAATAATGTTAAGATCGAAGACATAATTATATTTTATGATATCGTGATGATATCATTTCCATTCTCATAAATCAGCGGGATTCAATAATTGGACTATTTATCATTTGCTTATGTTTTGTTTCGCTAACTTAAATCTGTTTGCACCTTCTTGCTTTTCACATGGTATTGGTGCTGCCTTAGCCCAAGTGATCTTCAGGAAGAAGAAGAAGAAGAAGAGAGAAACACCCCAAAAGAAAAGGGACATGCACAATTAAGTATTAAATAAAGTATAATAATAGTCAGAAAATTTTCACATCGTCTTATTCATTCATCTTAATGAAATATTCGCTGCAACTCAATAAGCTTGCATAATCTTTGAGATTGTTATTTGTTAAAGCACCACCATCTGTATGAATTAATCACTACATAAAATTTCAATACATATATTATAAACAGTATAATATATAAACTATATCCTGTATTTATACAAATTTATATCATATCATATATATATAAAATGTACTAAAACCGCAAAAACTCAATGAAGACAGGTTGCTTCCTATATCTTCACAATTTTTATTAATTTTTCTTTTCCGGGAAGTTTAAGCAAATTGTTTATATAACTGAAAACAATAGGGTTACAAAACAACGCTCTTATAGGCCAAAACAATCACCTGAGAGTTTGCAGTGTGTAGAACAAAAAACAATGCTCTTAGAGCATTTTCAATGGGCTTTCCAAATTTGCTACATCAGCATTTTTTAATAGCCACGTCAGCGTTTTAGGGTCTTCAAATTTTAGCTATCGGATGTACTCCAATGGTGCTTTTTCGTTCTCCAAAAATATTAATATTTTTTAAATTTTTAATAAATTTTATTTTTTAACTTTTTCCTAACGGCTATATTTTTAAAACGGCTATATCATACAAAAAATTTAAACAATACGATATTTATTATTAAAAACAATACGATACGATATAAATTTAAACAATAAAATAAAAATAAAAAACAATACAATATGACATGAATTAAAAATATAACAACTAGGAAAAACAAAACAATCATATGGAATACTTGAGATAATCCTATAAAAAGCTTGAGTTACCGCGTGCGCGTATAGATACTAATATTTTATTTTGGCATTCAATTAGCCATGCTTTCCCGGTTTGTGTTGGCATCAATTCTGGATCTTTTTGCATGATTAACATCTCTTCATC